ATTACACTTCTTTTTTAGATTTGCTCCTTATAACGTCTGCCCCCCAAATTGCTGATGGCCCATGCTTTCCTGTTTCCTCTCAATCTTTTTCAATCGCAAAGTAACAATTTCACAACAAACAAAGAAAAGTTAATGAGTTGACTGTTAATTAAAGCCTGCAATAGGAAATGAGTTATTAGGGGGCATTTCTTTAGTAATGACGTACCTTTGCTAAATAAAAGCACAAACAGGAAGGTTCTAATAAAAGACACATAGTGTTTTGCCCTCCACACTACACAGGCTGGTATTGCAATTGTATTTAAACAGGGGAGAAAGTAACCAGCAATAAGGTCCTAGGGGTGGAAAGAGAGAGAAGAAAGACAACACAGAATTTTATGGAGATTTGGATGGAGACTTCAAAAGGTGAAAGAACGATGAATGGCGATTTCCAAAGTAATAGCCACTGTGGAAGCAACTTTAGAATTCTTTGTCGCCATGTCCTTAAGAAGCAAACTACACTAAAATGTGAATAAGTCAGTTCTCCATTTTTTTATTTTTTTTAAACCCCTCAGGAGCAAACTTGCTGTAGGAGAAAGGAATGGAGAACTGGGGAGGGAATGAGGTTCTCAACTATTTTTGCCTACTGCTATGCCCCCTCCTAGTAATTAAAAAAAGGAGGAGGAAGAGGAATGCATAAGCCCTTAATCATCCATGTGTGTCCTAACATGGATCTATAGCGAGCATTAGCTAATCACAGACTACAACTTTCAAACAGCATCACCTAGTCACACACAAAATTGGGTTTACTTAAGAGGCCATCTCAACTCCTTTGTCGTGCACCTTTATGCACCATTAAAATCTTGCACTTTTCCATATTCAGTTTGGGTGTTTACCCTCTTTGCCTAAACTGACACTGTTCAAGTATTAGCTGTTAAGGTCTAGCGCCCTCCTCCGCACTCCAAGAACAATTACAGTACAGAAGCTGTACCTCAGGAGCAGGAAATATCCCGTTTCTGGACTCTTAACTCCTAGGAAGGCTTATTTAACCAAATAACTGCCTGCGGCACTTAAGAATTCAGTGGGGAGTGTGTAAAGAACACCAGCAATTCTTAGGAAAGCGCAGAGAAAGTACACCAATTGATAGTCTAAACTACGATAGTCTAAACTAAACACAAGTTAACATGCATCCAAGTGAACAAATTCCATGCCAAGAACAAGACAATTGAGGAAGGGCTGCTGTCGTATACAGTAGTATATTTTCATACAGCACCAGCACCCCCTAGTGGATAGGAAATGGTATTATTAAACACATGCTAAAGATTACTGGTTGAGAGTTATGTAGGAGTAAGGTGACCAGACTGCTCATGCTTATTATCCAAGGATTTTGGTAACAAGCATTTCCACCATTATCAAATGCAATCCTATGTCTTGTGCCGTTTGAATTATTAGCGTTCTGCAATTCCTATCAAGCCCATTGTTCAAAAATGTACTTAATACAGTGGTACCTCAGGTTAAGTACTTAATTCGTTCCGGAGGTCTGTTCTTAACCTGAAACTGTTCTTAGCCTGAAGCACCACTTTAGCTAATGGGGCCTCCCGCTGCCGCCGCACCGCTGGAGCACGATTTCTGTTCTCATCCTGAAGCAAAGTTCTTAACCCGAGGTAATATTTCTGGGTTAGCGGAGTCTGTAACCTGAAGCGTATGTAACCTGAAGCATATGTAACCCGAGGTACCACTGTATATGAACTAAACACACACACAAACACACATACACACACACACACACACGAGTTCTGTTTGTGAAATGAAAACTAATCAGCATAAGCAATGTTGACACTCGCTATTCTACAGTACAGATCCCCGTTCTTCTCTTAGCACCCTAAACATATTTAAGGCCACTTCAATAGAATGTTACACAAAGGCAAGACACTTTTTTTTAAGCAAATCTTTTTATTACTGAAATACCCACCCGTTACTTGTTTAAATCTGTACATGCATTTCTTCCATTCGGAAGAGGTTTCTAAAAACAAAAGGAGAAATCCAGAAGGGGCTCTGCTTTCCTTCCGCTCGGCGCTGAATCCGAGAGAAGAACCATAGCATAAACAGCTTATCAATCGAAGCGGCTTATCAATCGAAGCACGAGAGGTGAATATAAAACCTAGCTTTACAATCAATTCCAAAAAAAAAGGAAAAAGGAAAAGGAAAAACCAGGCTGGAGGTGAGAAGAGCAAAAACAATCACTCCCAGGGAAATCCCTTTTGCAAGCTTTGTTTGCTTTTAAATGAGGAAGGGACTCAACATGGGGCAGGCAGATTCCTTGATGGTGCTCTTCCTGCACTTAACTACCCTCAAAACAAATTATTAATAGTTTTTTCTTGGATTTGTCACCACCAGTCATTATTTAAGAACTAGGAGCAAATGTTTTCTGGGGTGCATGGAGATATGAGAGGCTCTTCTCAGGTTTGGGACTTGTACTTTAGACCACCTCAAGCCTGTTAAAAAATCTCCACGCAGGGCAATCGTTCATGCCTTCTTGTAGACTCTCCCCTCCACGAGTCTTCCTGTGTTGTGCTAGGACATGCCCTGCTGGCCTGTGCATTCAAGGAGATTAAGGACTCTCAGCATATGAAAAAAAAGAGAGGAAATCCTTTGTCCAAATTTGAAAGTTTACATTAAGTGCCATCTTAGTGCTAAAATGGAAGCCTTCCATGCAACAGTCAGTGAGTGTCCTGTGGCTCAGGAGCAATCACTTAACCTGGATGAGACTACCACCTGCCCCTCTTTTTTCCACAGGCCTTACCGGAGTTTTGCTGTCCCCAAAGCAAGGGATTCCCCTCATGGGATTGCATTGCCCTCCCTGCTCTCAGTCCTGGAGCAGAATCTAGCATGGCTGTTGGGTGCAAAACATATTTCCCAGTGAAACACCGAGACAGAGGCTCCCTGCTGCAATGAGTCTCTGAATTAAAGATGGCACCCAAACCTCTGTTTACCAGGAAGGAGTCATTACACAAGCTAAGGGTCAGAGCAAATGCTCCCCCCCCCCCCACTGGTATGAAAATGCCATCGATCCTAGATATTCTTTTACCACAACACATTATTACGCATCACCTCTAAAAAAAGTTGGCAACCAAAGAACATATTCCAGTGAGCCTGCGCAGACTCACGTATGCTATAGGGTGTGGTCTCTAAAGTGCCTCCAAGCTAACCAGATTCAGAAAGGAAGAAGAGTGTGGCAGAGAAGATAAGGTTTGTTTTGTTTTGTACAAAAATCCAATCTCCCAAGTCAACACCCCTGTAACTACTAGCTGGTGACATCATAAGCCTGGGCCTGGGCCAATCCTCCATCAGATTGAAGTCACTGAAGATGGTGCAGTAAGTGAAAAGGGAACATTTCTTGTGGGGGGGGGGGACTATAGCAGAACTATGCAAAACTATTCAAGAGACACAATTCAACAGATCTGAGGAAGTGAGTTTAAGGAAGGCCAGGGTGTCAGGTTAGAGAAAGGATTATCCTTTCTACTGCATGTATTTCTTTAGGAGAGACCCCCAAACCACTGACAACAGCTAAAGCCCCCCAAAGTTCTTCCTAGTGGAAATTAATACACAAAGCAATGGTAGCAGACAGCTGCAAAAGAAAAAGGAGCATTTTACGCTTAGTCACAACGGGTCAGAAGTGGATAAAAAACAAAGAAGAGGCTGTCTAGCGTGCTGCTGGCAGTAAAGGTGCAGGGCATCACACGAGCGGAGGAAGACTTTAAAATGGCCAGCTTCGTAGAAGAACAGTCAAGAGACAGGAGGGGCTGCCCAAGCCCCTGATCCCTCAGAGAATTCATAGCCGCGGTGCAGCCTAATTGATCCATAGCAATGCTGGATGCCACAGGAGGAATGGTAAGTGATGGAGACAGTCTGGGTACGAGGAAGGAAATGCCCCGTTAGCTCCGGGACAGCTCTTGAGGCCAGCAGTCTCAGTACTTGGGCACTTTGGTGTAGTCTTCAGTGTGTATGTTCTTGCAGAGGCAGATCGAGAGAATCATCCCCAGGAGCTACAAAGAGTAAGCAAAAAATGAAGCTGGTCAAAGAGATGGTTGGTTCCAAGCACCCTAGGGCTGGGGGATCCCTGTGCTAATTCCCATTTCCCCGCCCTGTGAGGTAGGTTTGGCTGAGAGAGGCAGCTGCTGGCCAGAGGAGCTTCATGGCTGAGTGGGGATTTCAGCCCTGGTCATCCACAGACCAGTCCAATACTGCAATCACTGTACCACACCGGACATTGTTTAATCTTTTGTTTGTTGCCTCGGCCCACTTTCAGGAGGAAAGACAAGCTATACATTTAACGAATAAGATAAAAATAATTGGTAGTCCCCCCCCCTTCTTTATTCATTAAAAAAAACGCTTTTATTGTTAAGCTGAGCACTGCAATAAAGTGAAACTGGGCAAGAAAGCCTCTTAGCATTGCAGGTTCAGTTCGTAAGTAGCAGATGTCAGGCTTCAGGCAATCGGTTTCCTCCCCCGTGGCAGTAGATAAGCAGAACAAAGGAAAAGGAGTCTTCTTACAGGTTACAAACTTTAATAATCACAGCAGGAGAACAAAGAACACATCTACTAATAATGGCAGTGCTCCCAATTAAGGAGCCCACCCCATTCGGTCCCTATGAACCTACATCACTTCTACATCTTGTAATCTGAGCTTGCACCCTCTGTGGGTTCTGTTCTGCCACTTTCTGGGCTCTTCTCAACTTTGGAGAGGGTGGTGGAGGAATGCTGTCCAGAGACTGTGAATCTGTTAACCCTTTCTCTTCCCATGTTTCTTCTCCTAGCTGTTCCCCACCCAGTTTTTCCCAGCTTCAGCCTTCTGAACTATGTCCCTCTGCAAACCACTGTTCCAAATCTATACTGTCCTCCTGCTCCTGGGAAGATTCAGGATCTGGAGCAGGGGGAGGGGGAGGCTCCCACCATTCCTCCTCAATGCAACCCTCCTCAGCACCGTCCCTGACAGCAGACTCCATTAATTAGGCAAGGCTAGATTTTTCTTACTAATTGCAGTGCTGGCTGTTTTGGCAAGACCCCTGTATGAGAGAAAACAAAGGCAGAGAAGAAGAAGAAGAAGAAGAGTTTGGATTTGATATCCCGCCTTTCACTCCCTTTAAGGGAAAGGAGTTGAAATGGGAAAGGAGAAATGGGAAAGGAGTTGTCAGCACGAGACAATAGTCTCATGCCACATTACAGTCCAGACTCTGCACACGCTTACGCTGTTCTGAGATGGTGAAGCATCTACAACTCAGAAGCCACCACAACTGCATAGCACTGTAATGATGGGGCCAGATGAGCAATGTTGGTGTGTGGAGCTCACACACCTTGTGTCCCTTGCTTCTAAGTACAAGATCCATCCGTCCAGGATGCATTCTATAAAACTGTGTGTGTGTGTGTGTGTGTGTGTGTGTGTGTGTGTGTGTGTCTGTTGGGGGAGGAATCTTACCTCAATGACAGCAACCCCTGCACAGACTCCAAGAATGATGCCAAGATTCTCCTGTAGCCAATTCTGCACACCTTCCTTACAGCCCTGGGGGTAAACAAAAGGGTGAGAAAAATGACTTGCCAAGCATTTAATACCATGCAAAAGGATCTTCACTCCCCCTCCTCACTTATTAGCAAGGTGGGGTTTGTTCAGATAGGAGCATGGGAAAAGGCTTTATACCATTGTCCACCCAGCTTCATATTATCTACTCTGATTGGTAGCAGCTCTTTCGTGTCTCAGGAAGAGGTCTTTTTCCTTGGGGGGGGGGCGTGATTTCTAGATTCTATTCCAGACATTGTGTTAAATTAGGTCCATACAGAAAACAGCAATATCTTAGTAGAAGAAGCGACATAGCCTGCACCTTGTTGGCATATTCCAGCCTACCATCTTTTTTTAAGGTCAGGAAAACTCATACAGGGATAGATACACTTTCTTGGCCAAGGGCCACATTCACCCTTGATAAATCTGCTGGGAGCCTCATGCCAGGGGTTGGACTGGCCAAACCTGGGTGTGGCCACCCCAGACACCCACATGGCAACATACAGAGGCACACACCCCTCCCTTCCTCAACTGATCTGCATGGATCAGTTGGGGGAGAGGGACTATTGCATGTTCTCCACTCAAATGATCAATCTGACAACAGCGGAGGCAGCAATCTGCAACTGCATCTTCATCTGGGCACCGTGCTCTGCCCATCCCAGTGTTGCACCTACTTAAAAAACTGTTTCCCCCCCTTTCTGGTGCTGCCACCAAATTGGTCGGGTGTTGGGTGGCCAGGAAAAATTGCCTGAGGTGGCAGATCAGGCCCCTAAACTGAGGCTTAGCTACACCTGCCCTTATACAACCTCCTGCAATGGGATTAAGATTGTCCATTGTCAGACACACTCACCTGCTTTCTAACAGGCCAGTCCTCAACCGTTGTGGTGTTGGAAACAGTACCCAAAGAGCAGAAGCCTGTTTCTGAGAGGGAGTTAGTCGAGTCATTGCCACAAGAGCAAGGGTAGGATGTCTGGTTTCCGTCCTGGAGGAAAGTGTTGTTTTTCCAATTTTCTGGTGCAGCCCAGCCACAGCAAGACAGCTGCCATTGAAGAAAGAAATCACTGTGTCTTAAAAGTAGGGGAGGAATTTGATTCCGTCCACACAGAAGCCAAATCTATCAAATTCAAACTCTAAAACAATCTGAGAACCAAAACACAGCCACCTTCAAAATTCACACCGCATTTTGTTATGCCGTTCTCCAACCGAACAATGTTTACAGGAATGCATATAGGGGACAGTGCACATAAAAAGGAATCTATTGGTAAAAATAACATATACATAAATGTAGTATATTAGGAGAAACTGATTGCAAAAATGTGTGCATTGGTCCGGAACAAAAGGAGAAAAGCACACTAAAATACTGAAGAATTTTCATGAGGATTTTTTAAAAATATTGCAAATTGCTGCAGAAATTTAATTTAATGAATTTAAGATTGTAAAAATGAGAAACAGACACAAGCTTAATAAACCCACGTTGTCTTCTGCAACCTCTCGCACATCAGTTCATAGAACATTGCAATCCCAGAATTAATTCTGCTCTCGCGCCTCTGGATCCAACCCAGAGTTCTGAATTTTCAGAGTGCTAGTAATTTAAAGATAAGACAATAGCTCAGCTCCATTCGTACATGCCGCCTCAAACCAGTAATTTAGCCAAAGAATGCCAAGTGTTAAAACAGCAAGTCACCAGAAGATGGCGCTTGTCACCTACTCTCTTCCTCACCACCAACAAATTAAACAAGCCCAGCTGTGGAGAAGGGGGAGGAAGATATTAAAAGCAAACTACTATCAGACAGACAAACCTTAGTTCAGCTTTCCCCAACCCTCCAAATGTGTTGGACTGCAACTCCTCTCAGCCCTGGCCAGCATGCTTGGGGAAGGCTGTCTTAGCCCACAGCCTATTGGCGGGGTGGGGAACCTTTGGCCTTTAAAGGTCAGATTAGTCTCAAGATAAATATCTGAGTCCATCTGTCCCAAATATTTGATTGGAGATCTTGATTCAGCCAGATTTATTGTGGGGCAGCAGCAGCAAGAGAAAGACATTTCTGGCGCAACCAATGGTTTGCCCGAGCAAGGAAACAAATCCTAGTATCCTAGGGGAAAAGAAAGCCCAGGGAGCAAAGCCCATTCACAATGGCCAAGCCATGATTTGTTGCCTGTGTCTGAGCTGGGACTTAAATCTGCAGAGCCAAATGGGGCTATGAATGTTTAGTTGCAGTGGAGAGTGTGGGTGTAGGTGTGGGTGGGTGTATGTATATATATATATATATATATATATATATAATATGCGCAACATGGAAAACAGTTGTGCTGTTTGTTATTATGACTATGTGCATGAAGTTTCAGAGTTTCATATTACTGAACACCTAGATTTAACAAAAGAGAGCCACAAGTTCAAAAACTTTTGCTCAGTTTTTCATATTCTTGCTCCATTCTTTGTATAAGAGACCGAAGGCTCACTTGTAGCTCAATGAGCATGGAAGCACTTACCCAGAACACACACATGAGAGTGAAGGCTGTTGGGTGAGCAGAAAGGAGGCAACCTCTATGTGAACCTAACCGTTTGTTCCAATGCAATGCTTATATAAAGCCTTAAGAACTTTAGCCTACTGACCTGTCTGCCACAATGCTCCAAGCCAGGCTGGCACAACTTGTGACCTACCAGGTCTGCCAACTGCAGCTCACTAACCAAGTATGATAACCCAAACGCATCCTGATTTTCTTTTTTGCTGTTTCCCACCAGCCACGCATTGTGTTCTGCCTGCCAGGGCCTGAAAGCACACAGAGAGGTACCAAACATCTGGCAGATCTTACAATGCATGGCTGGCGAGCCAATTTCAGCCTGGCAAGTCCCGAGTTGTGCAAGCCTGACGTACGCAAAGCGTTTGCCAAGAAAAACACACACACACACACACACACACACACACACACACAGGCACACACCAGATGGAAGTCAGAAGGGTTTGAGCCTTCTTGTCCTCAAAGCAAGAGGTTTAGCTATTTATATAATATTTGAAAGGGAAAAAAGAGTTTCAAGATTCCTGAAAGGATTTGCTTTAAAATAACGAGCGTGTGCGCGTGCACACACACACACACACACACACACACACAACACACGCTTGTAACTCCACTGCATCTAGAAATATTCCATGGAATTAAATCACATACCAGGAACGTTCTGTCTTCAGCAACAAACACACACACACACACACACACACACACACACACCTGCTTCACATGTGTGTCACTTAATATTGATCTGGGGACAACACACACCAGTCAGCTGGAGGCATAGGACCATCACTGAGCTGAGAGGGGCGCAGATTGCTGCCATCGTTCGCAAAGCCAAGGTGGCTCAAAGTGAGTCATTATGAGTATGCAAACCATGGCAGTCATACATTCAATAGTCATAGCTTCATGCAATCACAAGTTTCTGGGGCTGGAAGCTCAGTGGCATGCGGTCCAAAGCAAAGCCAAAGCTTCCTTGTTCATTGTGTGAGGCAACACTTGATTTGTTGAACAAACCACGGTTAAAATCAGGGCTTTTTTTCAGCCTAAACTCGCCAGAACTCAGTTCCGGCACCTCTCAGGTGGGCGCCATTGCCATTATAAGAGAACGAGGGAGGCGTTCATGGTGAGTTCCAGCACATCTTTTTCTAGAAAAATAGCACTGGTTAAAATAAACCATGGTTTCGTGTTCCGTGCAAACACCTTTCTCTCCCTCACCCCCCCCCAAGCCCATGTAAAGTAACTCCTGAGTGAAGTGGCTCTTGCTTGCGTACTGAATATTAGCCAGCCTTTCCCCCTTGTCTGATCAACTCTTGCATGACCACTCACCTGCAACTGGACATAGTCCCACGCATTCTCAAGGGTCCTATTCTTGTCGTCGTAGGGATTGTAATTCTGAATGAGGTTGCCAGCAATCATATCCAGTTCTTCCCTGAGCTGGTGAATAAAAAAAAAGAGGGGGGGTTAAGTATTGATCACTCACTCTTTGTCCGACAGATTTCAAAAAGTCATTTAGCCCATGTTGAACACATGCAGGTTACCATACAGTATTAAAGGTAAAGGTAAGGGATCCCTGGTCAGTTACGTCCAGTCAAAGGCGACTATGGGGTTGCGGTGCTCATCTCGCTTTCAGGCTGAGAGAGCTGGCGTTTGTCCACAGACAGCTTTCTGGGTCACGTGGCCAGCATGACTAAACCGCTTCTGGCGCAACGGGACACCGTGACGGAAGCCAGAGCACATGGAAATGCTGTTCCTACCACAGTGGTACCTATTTATCTAATCGCACTGGTGTGCTTTCGAACTGCTAGGTTGGCAGGAGCTGGGGCAGAGCAATGGGAGCTCACCCAGTCGTATGGATTTGAACTGCTGACCTTCCGATCGGCAAGCCCAAGAGGCTCAGTGGTTTAGACCACAGCACCACCCATGCCCAGCATACAGTATTAGGTTCACCTAAAAGGCACAACCAATTTATAAAACTGCAACCTTTCTAAACATGTAGGGAAGAGATATATATATATATATATATATATATATATATATATATATAATATATATATGGCTCGGGTTGCGAACGTGAACCGTGTGGGATGCACATTCGCAACCCGCGTCTGTGCACGCACGGGTTGCGATTTGTGCTTCTGCGCATGTGCGACCGCCGAAATCTGGAAGTAACCTGTTCCAGTACTTCCGGGTTTTGGCGGTTTGTAACCAAAAAAAAAAGGAAACCTGAAGCGGCTGTAACTCGAGGTAATGGGGCCTCCTGGCGCTACCCCGCGATTTCTGTTCTCATCCTGAAGCAAAGTTCTTAACCCGAGGTACTACAGTGGTGCCTCGCAAGACGAAATTAATCCGTTCCGCGAGTCTCTTCGTCTTGCGGTTTTTTCATCTTGCGAAGCACGGCTATTAGCGGCTTAGCGGCTAAGCGGCTATTAACGGCTTAGCGGCTATTAACGGCTTAGCGGCTTTAAGAAAAAGGAAACAAACTCGCAAGACGTTTCGTCTTGCGAAGCAAGCCCATAGGGAAATTGGTCTTGAGGAACGACTCAAAAAACGCAAAACCCTTTCGTCTAGAGAGTTTTTCGTCTTGTGAGGCATTCGTCTTGCGGGGCACCACTGTATTTCTGGGTTAGCAGAGTCTGTAACCTGAAGCGTATGTAACCCGAGGTACCACTGTACACAGTCCAGAGCTTCTTAAGAAGCAAGGATGTATGGCTTCTGGATGGACTGGCTAAGTCCCTAGATCATCTCCTCTTCAGACAAATCATCATTTTCTGAAGGGATGGGTGGGCACCATACTGGGTCAAGCACCTACAAACATCCTCATCCTCCCCCCTCCTTTCCTGAGGGAAGGCTCTGTAGAGAGAGTGGTCAGTTGGCTGCCTCAGCTTGAAAACATCTTGAACATCTTCTGCTCAACTCTCATTTTTTGCACTCCACCTCTCATCCCCCCACTCCCAGGGCTCACCACCCTTGGTGATACTTATGCCATAAGTATCATAGCTATAGGAGACCAGTTCAGGTCAGGATCCTCCCAGAGGATGTTAACTCAAAATTAGCATATTAGCGGTGGAATTGTGAGGAGATTCAGCCATTCTGAAGCTGGTTTTTTTCAATGAGAGCTGCTATTTAACAGCATTTGCCTCCATAGCCCTTCTTTCTTTAGAGAACAATGTCAATTTTCCTGCAACTTAAGAAAGCCTAACGCTTATGTTACTATTTTCAGCCAAACTGGCAATAGCCCAATACAAGAAATCATCAAAGCTTCCTATGTGGGAGGCATTATTTACTAATATATGGAACATTGCTTTATCTGAACGCCTGGTCAGACATAAATGTGTAGTCTGGAGCAAAGCCAAATGAGACATTTTTGACGCACACTGGTGCCCATATTTTTATTATATAAATAGGGAGAGTCATAGACGTACCCCTCCCATGACTCACTCCTCATTGTGGTTGGGCTATATAAATTCATCTTTAAAATGTGGCCATATGTAACTGCATCTCTTTATTTTGTTTTTACATTGAATATGCTCTGTGTATGGTTTTGTTGTTGTTTGTATGGTTTTGTGTAAGTTTGTACACATTTCTATAAGTCAATAAAAATAGATAGATGATAGATAGATGATAGACAGATAGATGATCAATAGATGTGTATTAGTGAACCTCCAGATCTGCAAATGAAGCAAATTCCCTCTGACAGCAATGCAACTGGGCCACAGGTTTCTTCCCCCCCAGATCTGATTACTGTGCCTGTCTAGGCCAGTAAAGCGGGAGATCTCTCTGACTGCAGCTTGCACCAGTTCATGAGCTCACTTAAGCGGGATGGCCCAGTTACTGCGCTAAACCACACTGCCAGCCTGTCCCTGTCAAGCTATTTTAAATAAAGCTCCTCTTCCGAATTCTGCAAGCACAAAGTACCCAGCACTCGACTGCACAAGCTCGAGAGTGTCACGCTGGGGACAAAGCTGGCACTTGAAGCATTTGTAATGGGCTTTCAGAACTAGGTCAAATTTCCACAGGGCAGCCAGTCAAATAGATCTCCATATGGCAGCCCCGCTCAGCCCCAATGAAGCTCGCACTCTCCTCAGACATACAACCAAGCAAGGCTGTTCTCAGTGGTGGCTGCATACAGACTGCCTCCGAGCAAAGCCGCTCCGAAGGAGGCTGCATCTGCTCATATATTCCTCCTGGCCATGCAGTCAGATGGAAGAGAATCATACAATCACTCCCAGCTGACGTCTGGCCCTCTGTTACTCAGTTTACATGGCCAAGCGCTCTGCCTCTCGCCCCAACTCCTCCCAGGGAGGAAAGGAGGGATGAGCAGGAAAGCAACTTGACCTGGTTCCTGCCGCTAATGCAATTGGTCCTGGCTGCCTTTGTCCTCAGTCATAGATGGCAAAAAGGCAAGGAGCCTGTGGGTTTTCATTGTCCCTCCCCTCTGCTGTGTTAAAAAGAGAAGACCGCTTTTACATGCTACAGACTCAAAATGTGGAAAACCGAAAAGGTCCGAGTTTCAAGATTGTCGGTGGCAAGTGATGCTTTCCCACCCAAATGATGTGGGCATGATGCACTGTACCCTTTGCCTAGGTGTGGGCTCACCAGACCTTAGCCCCAGAATCAGTTTTTAGTGTCATGTGTGAATGAGATTAGAAATGCATGGATTAGTTTAATGCCCATGTTTGTGTACTGTGCCTTTTCCTTGTCATGCAACTACAGTCTGTAGCTCCGCACCCCCTCTCCAAAAGCCATTCCTGGTTAAGTAGATGACATGACTTCCAAATGCATCCAGCCTTTTCCTCTCCAAAAAAGAACAGGCCACAAAGGAATTCAATGTCTTCCCCCCAATTCCCCCAAATAACACACACACACACACACACACACACCAAGCATATCTTTTGCACTAGTTGCTTCTGTGTGTGATACAGTATAAAACATTTATTTAAAAAAAGAAAATAATATTCATCTCTTGTAAAAAATAGCCTGGATATTAAATCAGATTATTAGCATGTGGAGCCCACACTTAATCTATTAAAAAAATGAATCCACAGCCACCTAACAAAACACAAGCACGTTCCACCTGAACAATGGCTTGGTGTGTTGCATCACTGAGCTTCATGACCACAGGTTCCCCTCTTCCCTCCATTTGCATATTTGCAATTTCCCCTGGGACAAGATGTCACAGCAAGAAATGTGCATGACATCTCAGGGTTTTTTGTGTGTCACCCTCAGCAGGATACTATTCAGAGGATAGTTTGAAAGAGTGAAGGGCTACAAGTGTGGATCTGTGTGGGATGTGGAGCAAGGAGACGCGAGGGAACAGAAACAAAAAGGGGAGGAAAGCACAAACTCTGCTTGAGAGCAGAGGGGGAATACCTGACTGGTCCAATGGCACAAAGGACACAGTCATGCTAACGGTGTATATTCTAACCCTAAAAAAGGGTACCTGCTTGTCACATATACAGGAAGGGACAGCAACCGAGAGCAAGCCCTTCCTTCTAGTACAGAGTTTCTACAGGGTACTGCCAACAGCTGGAGGTTTTGGAAGAAGAAGTCAGCCAGCTTTTCTTTGGCCCGTTTGTGTCACTGAATCATTGAGGAGGACTCCTGAGGCACGAGCCCAGCAAGTGTCAAGTAGGTGAAGCACAAGCTCACATCCCGAGCTATGTATGGTACAGGCGTCTGGGTTACTGTCTGGCAGCCCCAGTTATGAGATCAGACAGGAACAATGAAATGTTTCACAATTTCCCCTTGATGAGAGTTTGCATACATACCATGGAAAAGCAAGAGAGGTCAAAAGTTTCCATTTAGTACTACCTCACTGACTGCAAGTCAAATTCCAGAAACAGAGGCTCTTCCACCCCCCGTTTCTGCCTGAGTGGGCTCCCAATAATTTCCATATAGTGCACATTAAATGCAGACATGCATTTTAATATCATGCCTTGCTTGGCCCAAAGTAAATGAGAGTTGAGGGGAAAGTATCTTTGAGAAGAGGCAGGGCAAAGACAGGGCTGGTCTAAGACATTTTGCTACCTGAGGCAAAGATGGCACCCTGTCCCCATTCCATTGACAGAAGCCAGTTGTATGGACAGAGAGTCGTACTTCAACACAGGCGGTGAGACAGCATCCTCCAATGCACCTGAGGACAGTGGGCCAACATAAGATGTGCAGACCATGTGGTACACCCAGTTCTGTCCTTCTTGCCCCTATAATCTGCCTCAGATTATTGGGTAGCCAACATGGCGTCCTCAGACTTTGCTGTACTCCAACTCCCATCATCCCTGGCCATGGCTCATGTTTGCTGGAGATAATAGGAACTGAAGTCCAGCATCATCTGGACTGAAAGTGAGATCATGAGAGCATCCTTGCTGGATGAGGCCAAAGGCCCATGTTGTTCAACTTTCTCATATCACGCTGTGACTAACCAGATGCCTATGAGAAGCCTGGAAGAAGGACCCAAGTGCAACAGGAATTCCTGACAGGAGCAGTGTGTTCTGGGTAGGCCTGGTTTACTTCCAGATAACCTGTTTATTGAGCCCATAAGGCCTTGCTTCAAGCAATTATCCTCCCCAACACTTGCCACGGCATTTTCTTGCCACTTTCCTTCCGGCAAAAAGTCCGAGGAGAGAAAGAGCGCTTGTTGCACAAGAGCTCCAAATCCACTTTCAACTGCAAAACCTGATTTTGCTGTTATGCAACTGAATCCCACCTGCAAAATTGCACTGGTAGTTTCATGGCCCCAGGAGACATATGAAAGCTAAAATTTAACCAAAAGAAAGTTCTCCTTTGCACAGAATGAAACACTCAGCTATGCAACATTGTGACTCAGACCACTGGATGAGAGAGGGATAAGACAGCGCCCTGCCAGCTTTGCCTCCTGGCAGCCAGATTCTAGCTGGAAGTAGGCCCACCTTTATCAAACAACATGAGGGGAGAGGAGACTGGTGTGCCAGACTCTTCCTGCCAAGAAGAGTTCTGTGATGTTTCCAAAGATGCCTCCCCACCACTATGAAGCAGAAGAAAAATGAGGCTTCGGGACCAACCTCTGTTGCTAGAGCAACCCTGCAGCAACTTCTCCACACAGAGGCCTCCATCTTTATAATGTGGAGGAAAATATGACAAGCCAAACCCAAAACATCTACAGCATCAAAGGGAGAAAAATATCTCAGAAAACCAGACTTTGAGGGAACAAAAAAACCCTCAATCAAAGACTGGTAGCAGCAGAAGAGTTCTGGAGAAAAAAATTGCTGGAGCTTCATGGAATAACATGCCTGAAGAAGGAAGGAGGTGGCTATTGCAATCTTTATACATTATACCTAGCCAGGGGTCTTTTTCTTTGGCATCAGGGAAAATATCTCTTGCAGACTTTTTCTCTTAGCGCAACAGCAACCTCAGCTGAAGTGAAAGAGGTTGCAGGAGAAGAGATCCTGAATATTGTTGTTGAGCTTGTTATGCAGTTTTAACTGGCTATTTTACAATGTAAAACAGCCAGTTAAAAGCACAGAACAGGTTCAACCACTGCAGGAGATCATAAAAAGGTCACAGAAGAGACATTTTAAAAAATTCCATACAAACAGAAAAGGCTTTACTCCATCCAGTTTGACACTAACTGTAGGAAGGGGCTCAAGCATGTCAATTTGGCAATTATGTAAAGCCAAATTTTACATAATTTTTACCACCCTGCTTCAGACCCACACTATACAAAGGAAATGTCCCTGTTCTCATACCAAGGATGGCTGTTTGAGCCCACTTTCTCTTTCACACACACACCACCACCCAGAAAAGTTCTAGTCCACACGCTGCATTCATATAATCAGCATTGGCCTATTCTGCTTTGGTTTCAAAGCTAAAACAGTGCTGGTCCTTTTGGTAAACTATATACTAGAATTACATCTTTGTCTCAAAATACAGCTCAGAAATAAACACAGCTGCAGGTGTGAAGTGGCAGCCTATCCACATACCAGAATGAAATAAATAAAATGCCATGTCTGGGCAACCCTACCCTTTCAGAATTTTATTACGGTTATTTATTAAATTTATTTACCATTCCTATAATCTGAAGATCACAGGGCAGTTCACAGTATTAAAAACACAAAATAGTTAAGAATTTAGCTTTTGAAGGCCACCAGTGGTAGCTCTAGGACACTAAAATAGCAACGAAACAAGGAGTGGGGTGTGCCATGCATGACAGCTGGCAAACAGGGGCTTTTCCAGGTTTATAGACACATTTGGAACACATGCACCTAAGAGGAAGCACTCAAGTGGGGAAGTGGTTAAAGTAACTTTCTCCCAGCTGCTATTTCATTTTTAACTAGGCTATGGACCAGGAATTTGTGGCCCTCCAGATGTTGCTGGATTATCACTATCATAAACTCTGACCATCGGCCATGCTGTCTGGAGCGGATGGGAGTTTGTATTCAATCACCAGCACAGGATCAGAGCTCCTCTACCCCCAAATTAAATCATGCCAGTTTTATTTACATTGGTTCTCACCCAGATTCTTAAAAAATGTGCCACCACTTCTGAGGCAGGAGGCTACTACTGAGCACCAAGTCTGCATGGCATAATGTGTCAGCAGGGAATAAGGGTTTAGAATTTCCCAGCCTTCTAAAAAAAAACCCCAAAGTAGACTGCACCCCAGTTTTAGGAGTTGCCCTTTGAGCAATTAATTTATTTTCTAGACTCTTCACAACCAAATTATGTTAACAGCGAAAAGCAAATTCAACACAAACCATCCTATACCCCTGAAATATGCAATAAATGCTATGGGTTGTATCCAGTGCTGACTTGCACACTCTCCTCCAGTTCCCCAGATCTGCCCCCGGGGAGGAAGAAAGGTGAAGTCCATGGTGCTAGCAGAAGTCCACTAGTGAAGCATTTTATTCTGCCTTCTGTGTTCATTTGGCATAAACCATCTGCTTTTGTACATAGAATCATAGAATTGCAGAGGACCATCCAGTCCAAGCCACTGCGATGCAGGAATATTAAGCTGTCCCATATGGGGATGAAACCTGCAATGTTGGCGTTATCGGCACCATGCTCTAACCAACTGAGCTATCCAGGCGTATGTTTTGTTTAGCTCGACCTCATGATATTGTATGTGTGGGAACACAACAATCAAGAGAAATATTTTGAAAGGAAATGTGACCTTGGGCTAGTCATTTGCCCAAGGACTAGCTCTTAAATCTACAAGAGCTAGATTTAAGAATTTTCCCAGAGAGGAATGGCAAAGCTAAGTTCTGCATCAGAAACCAGGAGCAGATGGTGAAAGCACAGTTTCCATGGAAGAAAGCAGGTGGGAAGAAGAAGAAGAAGAAGAAGAAGAAGAAGAAGAAGGAGGAGGAGGAGGAGGAGGAGGAGGAGGAGGAGGAGGAGGAGAGTTGGATTTGATATCCCACCTTTCACTCCCCTTCAGGAGTCTCAAAGCGGCTAACATTCTCCTTTCCCTTCCTCCCCCACAACAAACACTCTGTGAGTGGGGCTGAGAGACTTCAAAGAAGTGTGACTGGCCCAAGGTCACCCAGCAGCTGCATGTGGAGGAGCGGAGACGCGAACCCGGTTCCCCAGATTACGAGACTACCGCTCTTAACCACTACACCACACTGGCTCTCACACTGGGAGAGGAAAGGAGTCACTTACTCTATCCCGCTGGAGGTAGATGAGCACGCCAGCAGCTATCTGGGCTATGAGGATCAACAACAGGCAGGTGAAGTACTGAAAAAAAGAAATAGCACAACATTACTTGGTGTTTGGCATGGTCATTACTATAGACAGCAACCTCAGGAAAAGCTCTTCAGGGGACAGCCTATGGAACAGAGTCGGGCCTAAGAAGAAAGAGTTTTTGAGATAGTCTGCTTTCTTTTTAGGAGTGCATACAGTTATTTCCCATGCAACACAGCCAATAAAAACATTTCCCCCCATTTTTGCCTACTCTTCAAGTGCAATAAGCTCATAAATTGGCTCCTTCCAGGTGTTCCAACAAGAACTTGGCCCAGGTGTACACAGGGTAGTTGCCCAAGTTGGAAGCAGTTCAAGAGCCTACATGCCTGGTACTCATTGTCGCATAGCTCAAAAGCTTCGCCCGATATACAGGAGTATCACTTTTCACAATGCAAACAAGGAAGACAGTTCAGCTGCCGGACTGAGTACAGCATACAAAGGACAACAGATGTCGAGACAACTATTGGGGCTCAGAGCATCCCAGAAGATTCAGGAAAGGTCTCATGTAACACTTGGATTTCATGATACATGTGAGAATCAAAAATAAATAGTAGAATTCAACAATACACTATTACAGAAACTTCATTTGTCTAAGCCCTGTTCTGGGGACTCTCCCGTCCCCACTTCCAGAGCCAACTGAGGGGCATGGGAGGGGGGCAGAATCACAGTAGGAGAAGGGGGGAAGCCCACTGCACAGCCGAAGTCCTTGCACAGAGCTTCCACTGACAAGGCTTCTTGGGTTAATTCCACCCATAATTTTCCTCACCTACAGGGGAGAAAAGCTCCCATAATGGCAAGTGCAAACTGAAACCTGGGGTAATACATAATATTTATACACACATATGTATACACACAAATTATTTCACATCCATGCATCTCTCTCTCTCTCTCTCTCTCTCTCTCTCTCACACACACACACACACACACATACACCAATATTCAAAAACCTGGTCACACCTATTTTTTACCTATTAGCAACCCAATATCATTCCATCTTCATATGTCCTTATTTAGATTAATTATAGGTTACTGATTTATTTTTAAAAGAAACCACCACCTTATCCAACAAAATAGCAACATGATAATCAAATGAAGGAGCTGGCAATCACTATTCCTTGTCTGAAAAGGGCTTTGCATGGACATCAAAGAAACATAACAGGCATCAGGTGTGTTTTCCCTGGGAAAGGGACAGGACAGGACAGCCAAAGAGACTAAAGTTGCCACCTGCTTAACTTTGGAGGCCCTTCTCTAGATGCCTCAGTTTTCTGTGAAGCCAGGAATGTCTCGCTTAGAATTCCGAAGTACTGTACTTCTCTATCAACTGTAGTCGATATTCCTGCATGCCTTGGTCTCTAGTTCAACTGCAGCCCTCAGGCAGTACCAGCAAGTCACTTAAAGTAGCATTTATCTCTTTTCACTCACCAGACCCAAGAGACAGCGGATCTCATTGACTGCTCCAATGCAGCCCAGGAACCCCATCAACATGGTCACAGCACCGACTCCAATGAGAATGTACGCCCCAATCTTCAGCGATGACGATGAGGTCTCTGTGGAAACCAGAAGAGAAATGGACACAAAGTGAAGGAGGATTCTTTTAACGTTGCTTAGCTCCAGAAAAACAAGACTGCTCAGAGCCACATGCGCTTCAGAGAGCTAAGAACTTCAGGCCTAGATAATCAAAGGCCACGTGAAGGTTGCTTGTGATGGAGAGATCCACAAATAGGCAGTCAGAGAACTGAAGTGGGGCGATGAAGGAGAGAAGGCTGCATAATAGGAACTGATGACTAGGCAAGCAAGAGGCGCACAAAAGAAGACTTTATCCTGTCTCTGTTCGCTCTACCCCCAGAGTCTAGTTAGCTGCTCCCAAAAGGTTCCTCTGAGACAACTGCCAAGTTGCAAGGTAGAATTGGCCTTTGAAGGATGCACATCTTCTAATATGCAGCCACCAAACCCCAGTTATCCCCCTCTAACCCAGTTCAGCAAACACCCTTAAAAAGGTAAGGAAAGGGAACTTGCCAAACAGCAGTGCTGGTGGCATTAATATTAGCTTACTGGGTGGGGTGTGAGAGAGTTTGCATGTTGCATCTTACTGTGGGATCACAAGACACTTCCACTGATAGTTATGCAAAACTTCTCACATGGGGCAGTGGCAACTAACTCATTTGATGGACCCAACCTGGCTGCCTTTCCAAACGTACAGGGCAGGGGTTGTCAATGGCGTGCCCTTCAGATGTTGCCAGACTCCAATTCCAATCAGCCCCAGTCATCGTGGTCACTGGCCAGGGACACTGGAAGCTGTAGTCCAAAAAACACCTAGAGGGCTCCACCTTGGTGAACGCTGGTATAGATAGGCACTGAGACAAAGCCTTGGAAAAAAGAGACTGTAGCAGAAAGACACAGCCTGGGCTCAGTCTACAGCCTGCAGCACGTCTTGGATTTTGGAGGAAAGCTCCTCAAACCTTGTTGGCAAAAGGCTCACAGTTTATATTCCCTCTTGCGCCATCTTTTTCCTCGTTTCTGGGGAAAAAGCCAGATAAGCACAAGGGTTGGGGGGGGGCCTCTCTGGCAATGGACTGGAATGCCCTGCTGTGTAAAGTTCCTTCCCAGACTTTGTTAAGGTTACCAAAGCAAAAATAAAAAATAAAAAGAGGGGGGAAAGAAATGAGAAAAGGGAGGGGAAAGGGCTTCATCTGGGATCTCAAGGAAGGAAGCAGAAAAAATACTGCATACATGCAGTGAGATTACAAGCAAGAAAGGAAGAGGGCTGGGGGCAGGAAAGGAGCCCGTATACAGAATACTTCAAGTCCTTGGCAAGCAAAATCAGCCCATAGGCTCAGTGTGGGCAAAACTCCTTTTGAGCTGCTGAGTTCATACAGCTATTAGTTTTGGTTCTAGACCACAGGGAGAAAACTAGGTCACAAGGCAAAGCCTCAACTGCTTCTGCAGTCTAAAAATGGCTGCAAGCATTTGTTTTAAAAGGGGGGGGGGGGACTTGGTTTAAAACACACTTTTCAGCATAGCCCTTTCTTGTTATTTCTCCCTTGTGAGTAACACTGCAGCACTGACCCAGATAAAAAACATGGAAAGTGGAAATAGCATGCACAACTGCACAGGGAAGAAGAAGAAGAAGAAGAAGAAGAAGAAGAAGAAGAAGAAGAAGAAGAAGAAGAAGAAGAAGAAGAGTTTGGATTTGATATCCCGCCTTTCACTCCCTTTAAGAAGTCTCAAAGTGGCTAACATTCTCCTTTCCCTCCCTCCCTCACAATAAACACTCTGTGAGGTGAGTGGGGCTGAGAGACTTCAGAGAAGTGTGACTAGCCCAAGGTCACCCAGCAGCTGCATGTGGAGGAGCGGAGACGCGAACCCAGTTCCCCAGATTAGGAGTCTACCGCTCTTAACCACTACACCACACTGGGTGTTTTTTTTTAAAAGGAAATGCATTAGCTTGGCAGTTCCCCTTTACCAAATCTGTCCCTCAGACTTTTGCTGAGGTGAACCAAAGTTACCAAGCCTTGGAGAACTTTAAGCCTAATGCTTTCTGTCTGACCTGACATAGCCTTCCAAGAAAGAAAAGGCTGATTAGCAATAGAAAGCTCTTCTAAATCTAGCAGGAAGCCACCTTTGCTTTGGACTATGATCTGAAGGGGGGCTGCTGTTCAGATGGGCTTCCCTTTATAATTTAGTAAGCACAACATGGTGTTCTCTCTTGACAGATAAACACCCAAGGAACAAATGCAAAGATAAGAAAAGCAGTCTTACGCAAAACTGAAATGAAGCTATTCTTGTCAACCAAAATCCATATTCCGAAGCCCAGGATCACAGCACCCAAGATCTGGAAAACAAGTTTTGGTTACTGAAAACAGATTGTACAAAAGGTGTATTTCTTATGGTACTTTTATACTAGAAGAGTCTTCAAAAGCTCCTTATGCAATAGCACAAGTTCCCTCTAGTACAAACCTATTTTTCTGAAAAGGTCACATTGATGCTTCTAGGAGCAAAGTACAAAGATAAAATCTATCCCAGCTGGCCCTAGTATTTAAGCTAACAAAGTTTACCCAATTCTATTTTTCTGGGTATTTCCTCCTATCTATTACTGAAATATTATCTACCTCCAACTTACAGTAGTTTCCAGCTAGATATAAGTAATTCAGAAGCCTTGAGCTATGTGAAGCTGTCAATCAAACTAAAGCAGTGGTGGGGAATCTGTGGCTCTCCAGATGTTGATGGGCTCATCATCTGTCACCACTGGTCATGCTGGCTGGGGCTGGTAGGAATTGGAGTCCAACATCTGGGTAGCCAGGTCCCCCACCATCAAACAGCAGTTCTTTTAAGTCCCCCATTTCTAAACAGTGCTAAGAGTCCTGCCAGCACACAGCAGATTCGCTCATAGTGTATATGTTAGGCATGAGTTGTCTAGAACAAAGAACGGTCTACTTAAAGCATAGCACCAAGCATCTTTGCTACAGTTAATTTAGAACAAAAAGCAAGTTATCGGTATTATATAGCCTGGTTTGTTTGTTTTTATTTTGCCTTGTGATCACAAGTCAAGCAAAGTTGAAAAACAAAAGAGCTAAACTAAGCAGTCTTCAAAACACCGCTTCAATGGTTTTTATTTATTTCATAAAATTCATAAAAGCTATCTAAAAAAGGATGGCTCGAAAGCTAGCAACCTGGACATCATTCCCACTGAAGTGGTTAACCTGCCTAAGGTTTATTGCTTCAAACTGACTGTGGGGTCTGACAAGATTGAATGGTTTTCCATACCAAAAAATAAACTAAAATCACTCCGCATAGAGAGCTAAATGTCAGGGAGAAGGCTAGGCTAAAACACAGTTGGAGAGGAGCACTCAATCATGCAGGCCTCCACATGAAGTAAGAAGCAGTAGGTCCCAGTCCGACTTGCCAGAGCAGCTGCTTTTAAAAAGGCAGAATAACTGGAAGGTAGCTTGCCATACCACTCAGGTTAAGGTGTATTATAACATCTATTTCTGCTGCTAACATGCCACCAAGACCCCTGTTAGGATGCCTGTAGCGAAGAGCACAATAGGACCAGTGTGTCTTGGCATAAGCAGAAAGAATACAAGGAAACAGCTGAATAAGGGCTTGTATCAGACCTTTTTCTCTTTTTTTTTACATATGATCACACTTTAATAAAGAAACAGGAAGCCTGTTCTGCTGTGCATCCTCCTGTGATAAACACGCAGGCTAAAAATTTGCCTACAAACCAGAATTAAGTGAAGCCACGAGTCGTGCAACAGTCATATGGCAGCAAAACCTAAGGCACAGAGCCATCAGTTGGCAAGCGAGCTGCAAACACGTCGCAGTCCAACAGTGTTCCGTCAGTGGGAGCCAACTGGCAGCCCTCATCCTCGGATGAGAATGGGACAATAATCCCAGGGCCATAATGCAGATTTGATCTAGGAAATCACAAAGCCAACCTGGGGCAAGGAGGATAGGTCTAGAAAATCTCTGCAGACACCTCTGCCAAGGCTGAATTCAAATGGTCAGGGCAGGGACTTGCCTTTCCCCAAGTTTTACAACAACGAGTAGGAAACCTCAGGCCCAGGGGGCAAATGCACCCTTTCAAGACCCTCTATTTGGCCCTCAAGACTCTTATTTATTGTCTTTATAGCCCACCTTTTCCTTCAAGGCTAGCCTGAGAGACAGTGACTGGCCCAAGGTCACTCAGTTGCATGGCCGAGTAAGGATTCGAAAGCTGGTCTCCCAGATCCTAGTCCCAAACTCTAGCCACTACACCACACTGGCTGCCTTGCCAGGCTATATTCCCACTCTGCTATCTCCAGACCACATCTTTTACCAGCCCTGCTTTTGCCCTGGCTGGAAGTACTTTTGTCTGGCTGGAATACATCTTGCTTGCCTGGGTGGAGGACAGAGAGGGGTGGCTGGAGAAACGAGTCAGCAGTACAGAGATAAAATTTACGTTGGTTGCTCTGCTCAGGTTGGACTCTGGCCCTGTGCAACATTGGCATGTGGGTCCCAGAAGGTTACCCAGAAGGAAATACGGAGTGGAGAAGGTCCCCTGCCCTGCTGCTCTGCAACTAGAACGTCCAGATATTTTTATTACACAATGAAACTTTCACAGACAGGACTTCTGTGTGTTACAGGTTGCTTTCCACCTGGTCAGCAGTAAAGGAAAACAAGCGCATGCCGAACACTTTATACTTAACAATTAAGTGAGACTTCCATGGCACACTTGAATATAAATAGCTCCTATAGTAAACATTGAAGAACAAAATAATCTAACAGTACACAGCATGCAGACCTATTTGCTGGCTAGAGGCCAGTAATTCAAAACCTTCTCCAGAACTTTAGAGTGTTTTGAGAATAATCTGGTACACAGGATGTTTATTATACCCGCTTATGTGAAACAGACTGTATTCTGTCAGGGCCTCGCATCAGTCATGAAAGGATCATTAACATTGTCAGCAGAAATGCGGAATTTTCCCCCACTGCCTCCATGTTGTTGCTACAAAGTACAGAAAGCCAGACAAACTGGAAAAGTGATGGTTCCATTCAAAGAACTGCCAATATAGTTCACCTGCCTCCAAGGGAGCTGTGGAGAAGATGTAGTCTCTGTGAAGTTAACACTGGAGCTCAACAGTGACAAGGTGGCATTGGCAAAATGGGCTCCCCTTGCTACAGTAGACACAGGGAGAAGCCTAGGGCTAAAACCAACCTGCTCATACTTAAAATTTAGTTCTCTTTGCCAATAAGACATTGCAGCAGCAGTCTTGCTTTCCCTCCTGTATTATCTCAGCTCTGGCAAGTGAATTATGACCACCAGGTAACAGCTGTTTACATAGTGAATAGTTTTCTGTGGAGCAGATCTCCATGCAGTGCAAGCTCCTCCTAGGAAAAAACTTATTCCAAAGGGAGAGCTTGTGCCAGCACTGGTAAAAACAGAAAGCTTATTAGGGAACCATGTGGGCATCCTATTACAAAAGCCACCAAGTTTTATACATGTGAGAATAGCCTAACCTTGTTTGGCCTGCCATTTATGCACAGGTTGAACTTTAGGTTCCCAAAGGTTCAGATGCTATGGAACTGCAGAAAAAGCAGCTCTTTCCCCTGAGGCAAAAGGTAGTGGAAACAAAGGAGGGTTAGAGGAGTCTTGAAGAACAGATGCTTCCTGTCACCTGTGGCCTTGCCAGAGGAAGTCCAGAAAAGTCTACTGGGAGAGAATTCCAACCATCTACCCCTCTGAGCGCCATTTGCTTCAGCCAGCCGTCTCCCTCGAGAGACTTTCCACTTCTTTCTGTGCGAAATGTGGGAAAATACTTTGCCGCTCAGATCTGGATTTATTCAAGCCAAGCAGCTTGGATCTGCCTCCTGTCAGCTCAGAGCCATCTCATCAGGGCTCCAGGAACATAACTTGGCTTTACAGGCTGCAGAGCGGGAAGAGGAGGGGGATGTGGAAAGCCTGGAATCAGAGGAAGAGTGAAAATATCCACTTTGCTGAAGTGCTGTGGCAACAGGGAGGCGAGCAGGGTTACTGCAGGGCAAAGCTTTTCCGCAGCCCATTGTAGATGCATAGATTCGCCGCCGCCACCACTCAGATTAAGTTCCCTTTAGTGCCTCTCGCCCTTTGTCTTCTTCCCTGAAAAAGTTGCTATAGAGACAGTTTATCCTGCACTCTTGACAGGGCCAGATCAAGTCACCTGAAGTCTCAAATCTAGGCTAATTCACACTTTATGCAGCAAGTATGTTTGCTGCACACCAACACACATCAAAAACACTGCAAAACATGGCACAAATATATTTATCTGCATAGTTCTATCATCATGAGATGCGTGTATCGCCTGCTCTCTCCAAAGGAGCACAGTTTAATGGGGACAATTATTGGATAGTGCAATCACGCTCTTCAACTACATTCGGGGAAGAAGCTGCAATTCAGATGAGGTCTGGCCACTGCCAACCTTCATGTCCTGCCCTGGATGGTATTCCACCAAGGAACGCCATGCATGGGACTCCCCCTCCCCCTCTCCCATGCACACCCCACACCCAAATCTACTTCAGAGGGTTGTGGGAACCCCCAAAAGAAACATAAAAGTCATGCAGGGTGAGGAGGGGAAGCCTTGCTTTGCAGGTGGAACGCATTCTGCTTGTACAAGGAACTGCTTTGAATACAACTGCTTGCTTCCCCAGGAAGACACTTGGAATGAAACATGGTACACATCATTTCGCCCGCCCCCACCCCCTTTGCTAGTGGATGCCAATGAAGCACAGAAGGAAGGGGGAAATGAGAGACTCTATTTAGCACCACCAAAATAGTTTAACGGATTGCACACAGACCAGGCAGTGGCCCAGAAACCCCAGAAACTTGCGGCAACATAGCTTCAAATACCTTAGTATTCGTACTGGAATGTCTTCCATCCCTGGGAGCCAACCAACATCCCACCTCAAATACCAGCTGCAAGTACTCCAGTAATGCTAGACGAATTCAAGTGCCCAAGCATGCAGATAAAGCCACTTCCTTTCCCCTGCTTGTATCCCATTTCAGAAAGGGCAGAAACAGTATTTAACATCACGGGGTAAATAATTACAAATACTCTCTGAGCCAACAGAAATAGAATTGTAAAGCTGGAAGGGACCACGAAGGTTATCCACTTCAACTCCATGCAATGCAGGAATCTTTTTGCCCAAGGTGGGGCTCGAACCCACGACCCTGAGATTAAGAGTCTCGTACTCTACCAACTGAGCCATCATTTCTGACAGTCAAAAATGGATGGAACGTTGTCTCTTGTAGACCCAATATGAAGTGATGCTGCTATGGATTAACAGGTAGCATATTGCACCCTGTAGTTCTAGCTCTGCTATCCAATTCACCCCCACTCAGTCCCCCAACAAATTCTGAAGATGAAGCCAGACTAGTATTCAATGAGTTCTGCATCTTTAACTGTGTGTTTAAAGACTTAGCCCCACCTCACTGTAGAACTAGATCTTAAAAGAGTCTTCCTCCGCATGTTAAAACCATCCACGACCTTTGGTCCCTGGCAGCCTTAACTGGAAAGCCGATTGCTCGGAGATGGAAACGAAGCATGCAGCTGGGGGGGGGGGGGCTAGTGGAGAGAGCAAATTGAAAACCAGTTCCAGATGTGCCATCTGGGCAAGCCTTCCTGCTTGCAGTTTCTACATGGCACATGGTGAAAGAGTGGCAGAGGGAGGGGAACTCAGACGCACAACTGTTTGAGAAAGCAAGAACCTTAGTGATGATTTAAACACAACCTGGGGGTGGGGGACATCCCAGAACGTCTAACAAGGGCATTACAGCATGTATCACTGATGTTGCTTTAGATGCCAAGGGAAACATGAACATCTCTCTTGTGCACAGGTTTTGCATGAATTCGGCACTCGCATCTTGAGGCACCCTTCACACATGTCAGAATGAGCATCTCTCTGCTGCTGCTTTCTTTTTTAGGATCTGAAGTCACCCTAAAGTGGTAGAAGCACCAAGATAACACACAGCTTAATCTTCAAGGTGAAACACAGAGTGATGGGTTCTTACATTTGGTTGGGAGGGGTGGCTGCCCAAGAATACACCGTAACTGTCAAAGAAAGATATTTTGTCTGGTGTAATCTACTTCTCTTTTTAACCCTAGAGGAAAGAAAATAAGGAATGAAATGGATAGTCTCATGGATGAAAGAAAAAGGGTATGTTCTACAACACTCCAAGTCTAAGGGTGGAGCATGCAAGTGTGAAGAAGAAGAGAAGAAGAGTTTGGATTTGATATCCTGTTTTATCACTACCCTAAGCGAGTCTCAAAGCGGCTAACATTCTCCTTTCCCTTCCTCCCCCACAACAAACACTCTGTGAGGTGAGTGGGGCTGAGAGACTTCAGAGAAGTGTGACTAGCCCAAGGTCACCCAGCAGCTGCATGTGGAGGTGCGGAGACGCAAACCCGGTTCACCAGATTACAAGACTACCCCTCTTAACCACTACACCACACTGGCTCTCCTAATTGTGTGGAGGCTTCTCCTAATTTTGGTTCAAGAAATAAGGACTGTATCTCATCGATAGTGGTGCTCCTAAACAAAATTTCAGAAGTAAGGCCAAACAAGTTAAGCCAGGAGCAACTCCTATGCTCTAACCCAGATAAGGAAGCAGTGAACTTGAGGCCTTTAAGAGAAGCTCATGTAGAAATGTATACCCTACAACCCATTGTCTTCTCGCTGGACCGGGTGCCTTCAACTATGGTTCTTTGGAACTGATCCATTCAGAGGAAAGTGGAGGATTCCAGTTAGCATCTACATTTATACCTCCACCAGAGTAAAAGACTCAGCAGATGCTCCAGATGCAAAAGAGAACTAGAGCAGCAGTTCTCCAAAAGACACCAGGTGTGAAAGGTTGCAGATAAAAGCTGGAGAATAAGAGCACCATCTGTACAAAGGGAAGAGTCTTTTTGAGTTCAAAACCCCAGTTCCTTTCAACACAGCATTTCCTCAAAGTTGAAACATTTCCAAATGCAGCTCACCAGTCAGTTTACAAAGAGGAAGTGCCCAAGAAGAAACTGTCAGTCTGGAATTAACTCTAGATTGGGAGATTGTGTCCTCTGAATATATTGTGCAACATTAAATGCATTCTCCCATTGAAGCAGATCACTTTTGGGGTTCTTTGAATGTCAAATCGTTAAAATATGCAGTATGCACGGGAGAAAAGAGAAGCTATAAGGGACTTGGTATTTTGAGCACCACAGACTTTAAAAACACAAGGATTTGGCATCTTACAGCTGCCAATTAAATTGCTACAATTGGCAATCATGTCTTAACAGAACTGCCAGGTATGGATGTTTCTGCATTAATTTGCAATTTTTAAAAAGGACATGGATTATAGCTTAGAAATATTTCTCCCAAAATATGCATTTCAAAAAAAACATCATTTGATACATTTTGAGTCAAAAACTGCCAGAATATTCAGGATGTGCAAACTTTTATGATTAGCTAAGTTCCAATCGGCACATCAGTCTGGGAGATGTGAATCATATCAGTTTATTATTGACATTTACAAATAATTTGAGTTCTTCAAGCCTCTTGGCTTCCAGGTAGTAAGCTTCTGAAAGTGACAAGTCTGATGAATTATCAGGGGCCAGTATCTGCTATTATTATTTCTTGAGATGTTACAAAGATCAGATGCTTCATATATAAAAAAGATAAATAATAAACAAGACACCAGAAAAAAAGAAGGGAAGGGGGAAATGGGAGGTGTCCATATTAGTTGGAATATGTGTTGTAAAGTAAGTATGATACACTAAAAATAGATACGGTTTAGCTCAATGAGAAGAATCAGTTATTAAGATGAGGCCCTTGTCAAAGTTGATTTCCTTGACCTTGGCTATGCATATTCTTCAAATGTTATTGAACACAATACAGACTTCTTTCCCAACCAATTCATTTACCCAAAGAATTGTATAAACCATCCAATAACCAAGATCAAAAGGTGGAGTGGCCTCAGATACAGCACTGTCATGAAGCAGTATGAATATTGACAAAAGACAGGGAATGAAGCCAGGAGAAAGGTCAGCTGAACATTTCGACATTAGCACCCTGCTGAGAGAATGGCTGTTCTGGGGAAAAAGAATAAAAGGATAAAAAATGTGAAGGAAAAAAAGAGGTAAAAATCAAGAATTATGCTGAGCGGGAGGAGGGAAAACATTAGTCGCAAAGATAATCTATCATTTCATCTGTGATATATGAGGGAAAGGTTTTACGGTAGATAGAACCATTAGTGATTTGTTTAATGCATAAGACTTATCTTTGAATACTGCAAGAATTAGGTTACCAAGGACAAATCCTACTCCCATCCCCCACTAATCTACACAATCGGGAATCTGGTTTATAAGAGCAGAAGGGATGGAAACCAGTAAGTTTTGAAAAATATAATGATCAAGCGGCAATTGAGTAAAGATCCATTTTCTAAAAACATATGTAGGGTCCTCTGTAGAAAGAGAGGAAGTTGAGAGTGCCCAATAACTGGCCTTTTTTCTTTTTTCTCTTTTTTTGCACTAACAACAACAAAAAAGGTGGAATATCTATGTACTCAACATCCCTCTATTTCTTTGAACATGGTCACTAAACAGAATTTCTATAAAATTATGTACTAAAAGGATTACACACCTAGGTGGGTTAACAGAAAATGGCTTAAATGAGAGGTTGCCAACATGGTACCTATACTGTTTCAGTGGTGTAAATTGAAGCCCGGGTATTCGATGCATGCTTGGTGGTCATCTAGTGAGATTAAGTAGTTTTGAGCCTTAGTGAAAAAAGTTATTCAAGATGCAGTAAGAGGAAAAATAGTCTTTCAGAGTCTACAAGACATGAGTTCCATAGAAATTACAAACTAACATTTTTATGTTTAGCAGCTGTGAGAATACTTGCAGCAAAAACTTGGTACTCCTCAGAAATTCTGAGTTATTAGCAATTAATAAAATACCCCCCCCAAAAGATTACACAAGTGATCTGTACTCAGAAAGATCATGTGCATTTCAATCCTTCATGGAGGTTTGGGATATATTTTGCTTTGGGGGGAAATGTTATAAGGACAGTTCTTGTCTTGGTAGGGGCTACAGCTAGCTACTAATACTACTATTGGGAGCAGATGGCACTGTGGTCTAAACCACTGAACCTCTTGGGTTTGCCAATTGGAAGGTCAGCAGTTTGTATCTGTGTAATGGGGTGAGCTCCTGTTGCTCTGTCCCAGCTTCTGCCAACCTAGCAGTTCGAAAGCACAACAGTGCAAGTAGATAAATAGGTACCACTGTGGCGGGAAGGTAAATGGAGTTTCCGTGTGCTCTGGCTTCCGTCATGGTGTTTCGTTGCGCCAGAAGCAGTTTAGTCATCCTGGCCACATGACCCAAGAAGCTGTCTGTGGACAAACGCTGGCTCCCTCAGCCTGAAAGCAAGATGAGCGCTGCAACCCCATAATCGCCTTTTTCTTCACATTACATTACTATACAACTGATACACCCCAAGGGTGGCATGACATGTCTAGCAAACACTGCTCTGGGAACCTAGGCTGCTCCTTCTGCACTGCAAGGGGTGTTTGCATGTACACCCTATGATAAACAATGGAGAAGACTCCCTCCTCTAATTGCTTTTTTCTCATCTGGGTTCCCAAGTATATGTGCCACATCAAGTCGAGAGACGTTACCTAACTGGCTGAAGGAAAAATTAGTGGGTGGGGCAAAAGCCCACTAACAACTGCTCCCCTCCTGCTAGCCAGGAGAGATGCAGCAGCCCACATTTCCAGGCCCATGTTAACTAACAGATGTCTAACTTAATAGTTTCCATTACAAAAAATTGGGTTTTAATAGAGACTGTGTGTATGAGAGAGAGAGAGAGAGAGAGAGAGAGAGAGAGAGAGAGAGAGAGATTTAGAATTTTCCATCCATGTTCCCCTGGTATTCTGGAGCCCCAAAGTACCCCTTCCCATGTTATCTTGGCCCTTCAAATACAGTCGTACTTCGGAAGTCAAACAGAATCTGTTCCGGAAGTCTGTTTGACTTCCAAAACGTTCAGAAACCAAAGCACAGCTTCGGAATCCGCTGAAGAACCCGCGAGATGTTCAGCTTCCAAAAATAGATCACAAACCGGAACACTAATTTGCGGCGTTTGGGAGCCAAAACGTTCGAGAACTAATACGAATGTATTTGGGTACTGCTTGTCAACAAATTATAGAACTGTAGAGTTGGAAGGAACCCTGAGGATCATCTAGTCCAGGCATGACCAAACTTGGCCCTCCAGAACTCCCATCATCCCTAGCTGACAGGACCAGTGGTTGGGGATGATGAGAATTGTAGTCCCAAAACATCTGGAGGGCCGAGTTTGGCCATGCCTGGTCTACTCCAACCCTTTGCAATGCGGGAATATGCAGCTGTCCCATATGGGGATCAAACCTGCAACCTTGGTGTTATCAGCAACATGTTCTACTATGTTGGTTAAGTATACCAAGGGTGTGTAGAAGGTAGACTGTTTCTAGTAGACTTAGCACTGACATTCTTGCAAGCAGTCCTGGGACTCTGTAACTTTTGGTCTGCTCCTTCAAGGAACTTAAATATATGTATGATCACTTAATTATGGCATAGTTAGTATTTGTTAGGTGATCATGAACACACATTCCTCCTTTGTAAATTTAACCTGTTTGTAAAGGATTATAGTTTATGAAGCATAGCCCAAGTGAGACTGATCAGCCAATCTTTTGTTGAATCAACTTAAGTGTTTCTACACTGTTTATCACAAAACAAGCAGGAAATGAAAAATGTGCCTGTTTGCCCAGGAAATTTTTATCCAGCTTTATCTAGCTCACTGCTAGATTTTTCCCATGACTGTGTACAGCAGTATTACAATTTAAGTTAGTGTAATGGGCAAACTTTATTTTAAACACAGGATGAATTTGTTGGGCTTTAATCTAAAATCAGCTGTGTATATAGTCATTTATGCGGATAAGGACAAAAAACGGGCACCCATTCTCTGCTAAATATAAGATTATAAAGATGTTGTAAGTTTGTCTTAGATGTCCATCTGACACCAGATATACTCTTAGCAGAAAGGAAGGAAGGAAGGAATCAATATGTTTAATGAGAGAACTGTACCAGGGCTTTGCTGATCCTGAAAACAGGTTAGCACAGGCTCACTGCAAAGCTTGTTCTTCAAGTCTGTAATTCTCTGCTAGAAGTAACTGAGCCTCAGTGTCATCAGCCCAGTATAGTGGAACACTCTGGCCATAGAGATTCAGCAGACACCTTCTGCTTCAACTAATAAATGCCTACTGAAAACACTTCTATTCTAACAGGCTTATTAAGAATACATCTTTCCATAAAAGCCATCTGATTTTAACTTTTTTTATATGGTTTCCATTGCACAGATTTATGTGCAGTTGTTGTGAACCACTTTGATATTTTCTTCATGAATTAGTGGTATATAAAGATTGTCTTAAATAAAATAAAATAAATAAAGTTGCTGCTCCTCTTGGCACTAATCTGTTGCATCCTGCAAATAGAAACACATAGACTCACAGGAAAAAAATCCATGCAGCAGTGCACTGATTATAACCACACATGTTGTGGCTGGATGTCAAACTGCAATTATTGCAGAGAACAGCCAAGGACTTGATTAAAAATTGGCTAGCCGGTAATTTGGCTCAGCTTGTCTCAGATAGGCAGCACACAATACCCAAAAGCACTTAATGGAATCACACTATACAATTAGTTGCATTTCCCCAGCCTCTCGCCGTTTCTTCTTTTTTAGCATTTGCTAGTACTATACAGGCAAACAGGTCAAGACAGACTTTAATTACATTCAAGGAGGGTTAAATAATTAAATGAGTAGTTTCTCCAAGTGCCCAAGACTCCGATTTTAATAAAGCCAAGAACCTTTGCAGGAGTGTCAGGAAAGTTTAGTCATCCAACAGGCATCCAAACGGCCTCGGTCCAGTATATCTGAAGGACCGTCTCCACCCCCATCGTTCTGCCCGGACACTGAGGTCCAGCTCCGAGGGCCTTCTGGCGGTTCCCTCACTGCGAGAGGCCAAGTTACAGGGAACCAGGCAGAGGGCCTTCTCGGTAGTGGCGCCCACCCTGTGGAACACCCTCCCATCAGATGTCAAAGCGATAAACAACTACCTGACATTCAGAAGACATCTGAAGGCAGCCCTGTTCAGGGAAGTTTTTAATATGTGACATTTTAGTGTATTTTTCATCTTTGTTGGAAGCTGCCCAGAGTGGCTGGGGAAACCCAGCCAGATGGGTGGGGTACAAATAAAAAATTATTATTATTATTATTATTATTATTATTATTATTATTATTATTATTATTATCTTGATCATAGGTACCACTTAGCTAGTCCAATTGGGGCATTGCACACACAGTTATTTGGGTTGAGCACTGCTGCAGAAAGAAGCACCCCATCCCACTGTACAGCGGGCTCTGAGTTTGTTCAGATTTCAGCTGAAATCCTCTACGCCTTTGGTAGAAATGGAGATACTGAGCTACCACCTGGTACTGTTGTGGGAAGCAGATTAAGTGATTCAGATTCAATATGGTTTTGATGCAAGAAAGGGTTGTTATCTTAGAAATAGACTTAACTTATGACAATCGAGTTTGGGAGATTTTTGGAGAGAGGTAGAACAGTCTTTATAAGAAGGGTTCTTGTTATATTCCTTCTCCAATATTAGATGCCAGTTCTGCTGTTAGGATACAGTTGCTCCCGCCCGCACTCAACTTAAAAAACAGATCCCCCAGATTCTGAATCCAAATACTTACAAAGAAAAGGAGGTTGAAGAGGAAAAGGAAGTACTTTGTGACTTTCAGGCAGCCAGACCCCATCTTCTCTTTTTTATAGAACCTGGGTGGAAAACAGACAGCCATATGAGCATATATCCTTTACAGCATCACAACTTGACTGTGGTCTGGAAATTTTAAGAAATATTTTACCAGAATCTCCCCTCCCACACCACCCCCTCAGAAAGCAAAGCATTTCAGCAGAATACTTCTCTGACGAGCTGTTTCCTTAGCAGGGGAGAATACAGGGGGGGTTTCAGGCAGAACTCAGTTCCAGCACATCTCAAGTGTGTGCCATTGCCATTATAAGAGAACAAGTGAAGCGTTCATTGTGAGTTCCGGCACTTCTTTTTCTAGAAAAACCACACTGGGGAAATATATATGTATGGCTTTGTCTTATTAACTGTTTTTGCCAGTTCTAGTCTGTAGTTCAGCAAACTAGCCCCAGCCATCAAAGGAACCACTTTCCATCTGGTTGGTTGGCCACTGAAAGAACAAAATGTTGGTCAAAAGGAGCCTTTGGCCTAGAGCACCAGGGCTCTTCCGATCTTTTCAGTGAAGCACCACCTGCACCTCAGGTACAGATATTTCAGAGCCAGTTCAGAAACCTCCTTATATTGGAGACACAGGAGATTAAGGATGCTTCCACATGAGGCATTTACTGTGGAATGTTTGGAACCCCATGCTCTGTTCACTACTTTTTTCAGGACATCGGCAGGACACCATCGCAAAATCACCTTCCTCCCATATTTTCTCCCTTTGCTTTCAGTTTCTTTTCAGAACTCAGGAAAAAAAAACAACTTCACTCACACACAAACACACAGCTGTGCAATCTTCCCAAGCGTACATCAGTCATAGTGAAGCAACCCCACAGATTTTCAGGTGGACAGCATTTTCTGTATTAGTCACTCTAGCCATTTCCTTTATCTACGGTCTGTCATTCTTGTATAGGCGTGGACTCACAGTTTAACCTTTTCCCTAATAGGTGGCATTGCCTTTCAGTCAGTTTCTGTCGCCTAAATTGCAGCCACCAGCAAGGTCCTTAATCTTCGGACTACAGCAGCAGGGAGTCCTTAATCCCTTTCTCCCTCAGATAATGTCCTAAATGAAGCCATCTTTTCCCTCAACATTAAGTCCTATAGAAAGGGGCAGTGCCCATTTAGGTACAAGACCCATTTTACGTACAAGGCTTATCTGCTTGTGGCAGATAAGAACCAACCATCTGCCTCTATGCTAGCCACATCTGGAAGCCACCAATATTGGTTCTCATCTATGGTCCTTCATGTAGCACGCGCGCACACACACACACTACTGTTTACATGATCCCATAGAAAAAATAGCAGTGGCAGCCTCAAGAAAACTATATTTGACAGCAATCACAATAGTCAGCCTTTTGCTCACCATTAAACATGGGTGTATGAAACATAGGTGTAGCCAGGGGGGCGGGAGGCAGCTGCCCCCCCATCAAGTAAAACAATAGAAATACTTAACTAACTGGCCAATCACGTCAGTCTTGTGCCCCCCCCCCAAGTCCCATGCTATGAAACAGAAGATATTTCACCTGGTGTTACATCTCTGGTGGCTAAAAGCTTCTGAATGACAATATCACCCAAGATTCTTTACTAGAGTTACCCATATTTAGCAGAGGGGAATTGGAAATTCAGCAGAAATCCAGTGTAGAAGCCACTGTCTAGTTTAACACCTGGAGCTAATTCACAATATGCAAACTATGTGCAAACTATGTGTGCACATTTTAATAAGCCAAGAGATATTTAAACACCAGGTGTGCAATCCAAAAGGGAGCATTAATAGTGCTGCAAAGACAGAAAAGGCTTAGAAATGTTCCACTTTGGACAGAAGTCCAAGAAAAGAATTCTGCCTTGCCCTGTTCTGGCCTGCTGTACTTTACCATCACCAATATAAGCAGATATGTCTGGGCATGAGTATGCAGAAGGAGAAAGCTTTTTAGGAAACGGCAGAATTGATGGTATGAACATATTGCAGTATCTTATGCCAATACTTTCAGGTAGGAACAAGAATTGGTGGGTAGGGGGAGCCAAAGAGATATTGTGTGCTTGCCTCACCTATCCTAGTGGAGACTTTCACTTTCCTCAATGAGTGGTTGCCTCCTCCAATACAGGAAGCAAGGTGACAATTCTCATAAAAACTAGTGTCGAATAAATAGCATTTGACAACATCCTTAATGATCTTATCTCACAATGCAACAGGAAATAGGCAGGACAGACTTAAGAGCTGCCTGCAGAAGATCTGCTCAGAGCTTCCTCACGCTGGGATTGCATTCAGCAAAGGGCAACAGAACAGAGCAAGTTATTCTGTTTCCAGTCTAAAGCCTGCTTTTAATCTTATTAGGATATTTAGGTCAGTACTGAGATCAGGGTGGAAGTGGAGCATCATTCTAAACGGATAGCTCTCGCCAACCAGCAGAAGTTCTCAAAAATTTATCAGCTCTGCGGGGGAGAAGAGATGCTGCTTCCTTTGGAAAACTGATGTTAGAAAATGGATGTTTAGTCTTGAAACTGTGAAGAGTGTGTGCCCGTTCTTCCATCATGTGGCAGAAGCCCCAGGACCTCACAAGCCTGCTGAAAGTCACCCTTAATAGGATATTAAGAAGCTGACTTCAGCACTTGGCAACAAAGAAAGCTACCTTAGTCCTCAGTCAAACTATTTGTCCATCAAGCCCAACTTTATCTGCTCTTTATGGGTGGCAGATATCTTTCCACAACCTTCTCCTACCCAAACCTTTTTAACCAAGGGTGCACCAGAGGATCTGACCTGGACCGTACTACTGAGCTGCAGAATCTATCAAGAGATTCTCTTTAAAAGTAGAAGGGTCATCCATCAAAAGCAAGATGAAAGTCAGTTCAAGACTGCCCCAGGTGCACTTGCTGGAAGCCGTTATTCGGGAAATACCTCCACTGTGGAGTAGGGGTGGAAGGCAGGGCTCTTGGCTTGCTGACGAAGGTAGTCCCATATCAGATCAATACAGTGTACTTCACAACACTGAAAGCACCCTTTCATTGTTCAAGCACATGCCTAAACAGCACTATTCTCAATTGCATGCCCATGACTGTGTGGCAGGGTTAACAAAAAAACCCTGCATTTATTTGTATGTTACACATATGGATGCCACCAAACAGAAGCTATTCCAGCAGACTGCAGCAGAGGGAGAGATGGGAAGGAAGGCCATTCCATTGGTTTTGCTGAAACAACAGATAAATTTGGCTCCTCTTCCCTCTGAACAGTTGCCAATCTACCCAGCTATCATAAGAACTTTAAGAACTGGTGCCCAAGTTTGCCTTTGCCCCTTTTCTTTCATCACCCCTTTTTTCCTTGTGTGATTGTTTCATTTTCATTGATCGTCTGTTAAGCCCGCTCCGGTAGCCTTCTTGGGGCAAAAAGGCTTTAAATAAATAAATAAAAGTTACGCGCGAGAAGCAGACTAATACAGAATTCAATTTACACTGACGAGCTGCAGATATTCAGAGAGCATGCTTTTCTTCCTATGAGAAATTGCCAGAGTGGGAAAGGAATGAGGGCTATCCTCAGAATTGGCATTCAAATCAGAGCAAACGTAGTTGATCAGTTTTTTCCTTCATGAACTTTTTTTAAACAAACACAAGGATTAGAGCTAGATCTTTGGGGCCAAGCTCACAGACAGTTACAAGTGGTAACTCCAGACATCTTCTACACTTTGAGAATGGTCCTTTCTTCAAGTGTTTACCCACCCTTACCCTATTCCTTTTCTAAACAGAAAAGAAGGTTTTCCTACAGCTCCCCAATGCTATGATGTAGCTATTGAGCATTATTTTCTTGCCAAGGGGCTATAGTCATCAAATTAAAATATACACTGTCACATTTAAGATAGAGGAGGAAGATATAGGAGAGATATACGTGCACAACATTCTCTTAGTTTATAAAGAAAACAGGCTTCCCCTTTTTAAAAAAAAAATCTAAGAACAAAAAGAGTCTATTCACAAGGTTTCAAACACATTATTAGAGCTGGGTGAAATTTCCCTACAATCATTGAACAAAGACCAGTCATTCCATGTCCATATAGGCAGTGATGTGCAGAAAACTTTCCACAGAAAAATGAGCAAGGTCCATTTAGGGGAGAAGATTTGAGAGAGCAGCATACATCCAAAATCCTAGGGGGCTACAGGATGCTAGACCATTGGTGAGGATTGCCTACAGCAACTTTTGCCAACCTGATGCCCTCCAGATGCTTTGAATGCCCACTCCCCCCAGCCCCCACCCCCACGTCATGCTTGATGGGGGTTGGGGGGAGGTGTGATCCAAAACATCTGAAGGGCACCAGGTCAGAGAAGGCTGGTCTACAGGTCTACAGTGACTGGCAGTGGCTCTCCAGGGTTAGAGGCAGAGGGCATTCCTAGTGCTACCTGGAAAGATCAAGGATTGAACCCAGTACCCTTTGCATGCAAAGCAGATGCTCAGCCCTTTTGTCCATTCTCAGAGTTGAAGCAATAAGCAAAAATGTAGTAAACCAAAAGTAAGTGGTACAGTTAGATTGGGAGGGGGAGGGAAGCACTAATAAAATTTCATCTATCTGTTTAAAGATTGGGAAAATAAAGTGCTGAAGGAGCATCCAAGGGCCTTCTGTTGGTTCCCTCCCTATGAGAAGTGAGGTTCCTTCAGGCAGAGGGCCTTCTTGGTAGTGGCGCCTGCCCTGTGGAACACCCTCCCATAAGATGTCAAGGAAATAAACAGCTATCTGACTTTTAGAAGACATCTGAAGGCAACCCTATTTAGGGAAGTTTTTCATATTTGATGTTTTATAGCTTTTATTATTATTAATATTCTGTTGGGAGCTGCCCTGAGTAGTTGGGGAAACCCAGCTGATTGGCGGGGTATAAATAAATTGTTGTTGTTGTTGATGATGATGATGATGTTACAGTAATTCCAGAGTTGTTTTGGCGAGAGAAACCAGTTTTAAGAGGCATATTTATTTCATTTCAGCTAACCAGCATTGCCTTCGTATGACCACAATTCTTCTAACTGGAACCGGCACCAAAGATATTTCACCTGGAAAGGCAGAGCATCAGCTAAGGATTTTCCCTCTCCTAATCAAACTTGGCAGAAGGAGGAAGGAGCCATTGTGTCTGTGCAGCCTACTGGCAATCAATTAAAAACAATTGACAGGTTTGAAGCAGATGAATAAAGCTTTGATCTCAGATCAGTTAAGAATTTTTTTTTAGCCTTGTGAATTCTGATAGGTACAGATAAGTTCTTGGAGTAGTCAGTCAGCCTTGCCAGTACAGGTATTTTCTAATTGCTGGCATTTCAAAAGCACATCTTCTTTCATCCAAGAAGTTAAATAAGAGAGGAAAGAAACACAACTTGGGTAAGTTATTTTTCCTAGCAAGGCTGGTACGTAGTGCAACCAAGGGAGTGCTATTTATAAAAGCAAGATTACTTGAGGTTCCTGACTTGAACCTGTTTTAACAGACTTGTTGTATATTTTTGTACATTTTATTGTACATTTTAATTATGGATTTCGTAGAATTGTAGAGTTGGGAGTATTTTTCAAATGATGTGATGAAATTGTTTTGCTGTGTGTTTTAACTATGTGCAGCTATGTTTTTATAATGGGTTTTATACTTGTAAACTGCTCAGAAGGCGTTTTGGCAAGTCAGATGTAGAGATATAAATAAATAAGGAATCTTGATAAACTAAGCAGACTTTGCCGGCCCCAGATTCCAGAATCCACCATGCAGAAGCAGAAAGGAAGATGGCAACAGACTACTTTGCCTGGAACAGTGACAAGGTCATTTAAAGGATTCCAACTTTAGGCTTCTCTTAACAAGGTCTCCGGAGAGAAGGATTATTGAAAGCAGTGAACCTAACCACTGGAAATTGACACAAGCAAGCAAGGTCTTAGGTCAGTGGTTTTCAATCAGCGTGCCATGGCACACTGAGGTGCCTTGAATGATGGTCAAGGGTGCCGCAGGCAACACTGGCCTCTGTCCCTCTTTCCTTCCCTCCCTCCTCTGCTGCCTTCTCCCATCTCTGCCTCCCAAAGGCTTGTACAGCTGTTTGTTGCAGCAGCCCTGGCTACAAGCTCCCCAGACAAATGGTGCCTCGGGGGCTGGCCAGGGTGTGCTGGTTGCCAGGAGCTGAGGCAGCCTCAGAGTAAGCAAGCAAGTGAGCGAGGGAGCCCAGCTAGCCAGTCCGCCAGCCTCTGATGTTGGGAATGGACGGACAAGTGGGAGGCTGGGCAGGCAGGCCGGCAGGTGCTGCGCTGGCCTTTCTTGTTCTTGCTGTGTGTAAGGCCTGCCTGAGTGCTGAAGGGGAGCCTTTCCACCATGCAGGCCCAACAGCGCCTGCTGCTGCCACTGCTGCCTCCTAAGGTAAGGTGCTGGCCTCACATTCACCTTTGGCCAGTCTCCACAGGGCCACTAAGGCTGCAGGCATCCTCTTCCGAGGCCCCTGTGGGGCAGTGTGAGGAGACCCCTCTCTTTGGGGCAGCTCAGAGACTAGGGGCAGCAGCAGTCCTGGAGGACTCCCAAGGAGAGGGGAGAGGAGAGGGGGCTGAGGGAATACTCCACAAGGGAGGGAGTTTGAAAAAAGCACTGCAGGCAAGGGGAGACATAACTGGGCTCCTGAGCCCCACGGGGTGCCACGGAAAGAATGTAGTTGGTCAAGGGAGCAGTGGACTCAAAAAGGTTGAAAACCTCTGTCTTAGGTCTTCCTACACAGTGGTCTTCTTGTTAAGGGCAGCAGGAGGAAAACTTGTGACTTATTTAGTATAGTTCTGTAATGTGACCCCTGGTAGTCATTCAGCAGAGCCCTGTAACATGAGCTTAAGTAGCCTTCCCTTTGGCTGAAAGATACCTGAATAAAGGCTGGTACACCACATTCCACTATCCTACTTCTTCCCCCGGCCCAAAAAAACCTATACAAGGGAAAGAGCTGTAAAAAGATACTATGGGAAAGAGAAAGAAGGCTGTGAGGAAATTCACTGCTTCTCTTCTCACTGGGAAAAGGATGGTGTATGATTTCCAAAAGCCTCTTCTGACTCTCCTCCTTACAAACCACCTCTGGGGAAACCTATTAAACAAAGCCACAACAAGCTCCATTCAGTATTGCCATCTTCTGTTTGCAGCGTTAATTGACAACCCCCCAACTCCTTCAACACACACAAATAGAAAAGCTCAATTTTTGAGCTTCACATACACACCCTGTTTTGCAAGAACTGCCGCACATGATATATCACTAGGGTTCAGTTCACTTTCATGAGCATAAACCTCATGCTAATAGAGTTAAAGGCCTGAAGGAATCAGCACTGCCATGACAACACACATGACCTCTAGTCTACAGCTGATAAGTGGTGCTATGCTAAGAATGAAGCTTCTGCTAGTAGAATGGTTGTTATATGAGTGGCTGGCACCAATGGGTATCACCCTAAATTTATAGAAATCATCCCAAAAAAATCTACCCTGTCCCATATAGAATTTTACCTGTTTTCAGTTATTATTATTTTTGGTATTTATTTGATTTGATTCAAATGAGGTACATATGTAGGCCTCAGTCTCAACATTCACAGCTTGTCACCCCTGATTAGATATTCTGGCCTAGTCAGACAATACACAACGTTATTTTAGGAAGCCGGCATAACACAACTACAATAACAGAGAATGCAGCATGTGATGCCATTCTGAGGTTCAGGTCTAACAGCATTTACTGCATTCCTGTTGGCATTTCTCAGACACTTGGGTGGTTCAAGGTATATTCACCCGAACGTAGCTATAATTTCAAAAGTGCTCATAGTGACACAGAGCTTCTTCACCTTGTAGCACTGCTGTGCCCGCACTGGGTCTGACAGTGGCAAAATGAGTCAAGAGCAGCGCACAGGTTTGTACGGGCTTATTGCCAAGATTAATAGCAGAAATAGTATCCTTTGAGAACAGACTTCCGGCCTCCTTCCTTTGCTGAAATAGAGAACAACTTCAGACTGGATCAGAGACATGGTTATAGAACTGCCCCTGCTGGAGCCACATTACAGTGCTACCTCGGGTTAAGAACTTAATTCATTCTGGCGGTCCGTTCTTAACCTGAATCTGTTCTTAACACGAGGTACCACTTTAGCTAATGAGGCCTCCCCACTGCTGCCATGCCGCTGCTGTGCAATTTCTGTTCTCATCCTGAAGCAAAGTTCTTAACCCGAGGTACTACTTCCGGGTTAGCGGAATCTGTAACCTGCGGAATCTGTAACCTGAAGCATCTGTAACCCAAGGTACCACTGTAGTTTACTGTGAGCATGTAGCATTGCTGGGGGGAGGGGGGACAGGCTGACCAACATGATAACCATCCATTGCTCATCTCTTCCCCATGTCTCCTGCTTCTTCCATGCGCCACAGGCACCCAGTCTTACCCTATGCTTGTTTTTGCACAGAACTTCCACGGAACATCTCCCATGTGACAATACAGACAACAGCAGCCTTTCTTCTTCCTCATCGCTAATACCTCATGCTTTGTCAAGCAGCAAAAGGAAGAAAACATGGGTTGTGCCTTCCCTGCTCCACTGCTCAGAATTTGTGGCTCTCTTTGCTTTCTTGCAGGTTTGTCATTTTCTGGGCTGGAGCTACTCTCAAAGAGTGACTAATGTTTGCACGCACAGTTACAGAAGGTTAGTCAGGTGGGAGGTAAGAAGAAGGCAAAGGAAAATCTCCAACAGTTGCTTCCTGCTTTCTATAAAGTACTAGAAAATGTCACAAAGGCTGATGTATGGTCCCAGCATTATGCACCTGGGCATGGAGCCATGAGAATTTACCTGCCATGTAAACAAATTGAACAGTCTCTCAAGTGCCCTCTCATTCACTGCCCTCTTTCTCTCAGGCCAACACAGGCGCAGTTTTGTGGGTATACTTCATCACAACAGGGGGTGACCAATCCACAGGCTTTGAGGGCAGAGATGTTAGAAGCTGATGAATAATCCCCATTGATATCTCTGCCTCACATCCACCATGTAAAAGCCTAAGGAAAGCCATGCTAGATCAGCTAGAGGCCTATCTAGCCCAGAATTCTGTTCTCACAGTAGCCAACTAGATGCACTGTGTCCAACTAAATGCCGATTTGAGTGCAACAGCATTCTCCTGCTCATGATCCCCAGCAACAACTGTTCAATAGATGTATGTGGAATGACCATAGAATGGCCTTTCTCATTCCAACAGAGCAAGTTCCATGTTTTAAGAAATGGAGCAAGTCTTGTTCCTGGGTTAAACGGATTAAATGAGGTGAAAACCATTGGAAGTTCCCCCATCGAGGCAGGAAGACAATACATATTTGTTTGGTCATGTGTCCTATTATAGTCAACCAGTGTTAGAAACTCAGATATATGATCTAATCTAATTGCCAAATAGCACCTCAAACCTGGGTCACAGTTGCCACAATGGAATGTCTAGATGCCTTTTTTTGCAATGGAGGTGGTTGTTGTTGTTGTTGTTGTTTGTTTATTTCATTTCTGTACCACTTTATATTTTAAAGAACAAATCTCAAAGTGGTTTACGACACATTAAAATATCAAATAAAACAACCCAGAATTAAACAAATTCAAGCTTCAGAGAAAATATTTCAGAGCCTTCTTTAAATGGCATTTTACTTTCCACAATCGCCAACCTGGCACCCAGAGATCTCCACGTGGTCTCAACTGGATCCACACCAGTTGCAAAATGTGTCTGGTGTCTGGCTAATTTCTAACACTGTTCAGCCAACCAAATCAACAGTCAAATCAACAGGTTAGATAAGACAGCAATCTATGTTTGGGTGTGTTTTTAAAAGCTTATAAAAACTGGAGTACCATTTTAGACAAGGCATCCCAACCGCCTTCTCACACCTACATAGGAGGGAGTGCCTCCAAGGCAGGGGTTCCCAAACTGCACCCCTTGGCCTAATTTCATGCAGGTAGCAAGGAACAGATTGTGGAAAGTGGGTGGCAGAAAGAGAAGAGGGAGTCCCTTCCACCTTTTGCTCAGGCTCTAGCAAACTACCCCTGAGCAAATACAGCTCTTGATAATCCTGATCTAACTTGCCAGTGGCAACATATGCATACTTCATCTAAGAACTGCAAGTTTAGGCTGATTGTCCAAGTCATGGGTAGGCAAACTAAGGCCCGGGGGCCAGATCTGGCCCAATCGCCTTTTAAATCCAGCCCGCGGGCGGTCCGGAAATCAGCGTGTTTTTACATGAGTAGAATGTATCCTTTTATTTAAAATGCATCTCTGGGTTATTTGTGGGGCATAGGAATTTGTTCATATCCCCCCCCCAAAAAAAAATAGTCCAGCCCCCCACAAGGTCTGAGGGACAGTGGACCGGCTCCCTGCTGAAAAAGTTTGCTGACCCCTGGCCAAGTGATAATGGCATCAATAAAGGCTTGCAGTCCCATCCACACTTTGCTTGGGAGCAGGTGCCATTTGCATTCATGGAAGCTTACTCCCAGGAAACAGGCATTAGAGATTGTACTGTAAGTTGATCCTACACTAGGGAGCTATTTGATTTTGAATAAGCTAGAGATAAAGAGCAAGCAGCACAGCACGGGTGAAGATAAAGGGGATCAATAAGAAGCAGCTAATGGCGCTGAAGCATATTAAGTGACTTAGGACTGCTATTTCAGCTCCAAGTGCTGCAACAGGAAGCCATTTTTTTAAAGAACTACTGGAGAGAGAGCACCAGAGGGAGAGGTATGCTGCTCTGTTTCATAAGCATGCTACACCTTTCTATTACCTGCAGGGAGCTAATGAGCAGTGGCAGAATTAATGACCCTTTTGTTTACTAAAAGCAGTCAGCACATTCCCTAGAGGCCATCTTCCGTGAAGACTCCAGAGAGCGATCAGGTTACGTTTGTCACCTATAGTCAACTGGGTGTGCAGGGTCAACGTTAACATTATCTAAGGGCGATGGATTTATGCAGCTGCAGCACGTTGCTGTTTTGTAATTAAAAGTGTGTCCTGACACGGTTATTTCGTCACCTACCAACCCAAGAGCGCAACAAGGCCTAGCTTGCGAAGTCAGCTGCAAAGCAAAACTGTAAGGCTACAATGATTGAGGCAGCGTCTGACAATTATGAAGCTGGAGATTTTTCTCATAAGAATGTAAATCTTCTCTAAGAGGGCTTTTCTACTAACCTACTGTGGCAATAGGTTTTAGTTTCTAAAATCAGAATTTCCTGCCAGCACTAATGATACATGGAAGAAAAGGTAAAAGACCAGCACAGGCAGTTAATCCTGGGATTATTTCAGATTGCAGCTGCTGCAGGGTGTCTCATTTGTTATTTATCCAATAGCCTTACACAAAAACTTATTTTGTCATCTCACTGCATAACTCAGGCCCTTTTCAGGGATTATTCACCCAGTTTACCTCTTGGTGAAACCAAATTGGGGATAGCTTTGACCCTCCCATAATGGCAATCACCTGTAAACCTCTTGTTTCACACATATTCTTCGTGCAGCCCTAGGACTGCATAAATCCAAAGTGATTTAACTGTGTGAACTGGCTGTCAGAATGCTGTTATTACAGACTAGCTTCACTACCTAGTAAAACATGTTTGTTAAATTTAACAAGTATTGTATTTACAAATTGCCACTCACCAGAGCCTAACAGACTCTACTTTGCAACCTTTTCAGGCACTAGTAAAGTCAGACTTGAGGTAAATTGAATTGGTTACACAACTGCTTTGGCATACAGCAATTTTGCAAGGTGCTTTTTTATTTTTTGCTTCTTTTTGTCTCTGAATTAAGAACAAAAGATGTGGAAGTGTCAAAATACAGCTAGCAGCTTAAGAGAAACATTCACCAACTAGTTCAGTGTGATTGGGGATTCAAGATTGGAAACTATGTTTTAACATCTCAAAAGACTGTCACTTCCAAAAAGTCATTAATGAACATGTTTTTTAGTGCAAAGGAAGCACATTTCTGAAAAGGTGCAGCCTAACAGAAGTGTCATATAGATTCAAAGATTTGTTCCTATCACATCTACTTTGGCACTGCAGTTCAGGTCCCTCAAATGTTGCCTTTGTGGGTTATTACAAGTCTGTTCTCCTGTTTGGACTGGAGGGCAAAGTGCCACATGGTCTACTCATTTCAGCAGCAATTCTTTCAGAAAGTTTCATTATGAGAAGGGCCAGCATAAATTTATACAGATCTCAATTTACATGCATAAAAGCAATACTAGTGAAGTCATCTTGGTGGAATTGGTTTCAATAGAATGCAGTGGGGGGGGGGGAGATTTCATAGTATGCTATCTGCCGTCAATCACAGAACACCAGGGCAGCTCAGTCTCCAGTGGGGAAAAGGAAGTCAGTGCCACGCAGAGACAAATGTCTTCTTGTTCAACCCAGCCTGCTCCTTACGAAGTTATGTACAAACGTGCTTGAGATATCCTGCCGAAGACTGAAATCCACCCACACTCAAAAAACCTGTTATCCCCTAGCACTGCATGCTAGCAACTCACCTGGTTACACATATGCAGAGCAAATAAAAAGACATCCCAGAGCCATTAGTCTTCAACAGCAGATGCCACAACTTTCTTTCCATTGAACCAGGGATAGCCAAATAGCACAGATCCCAAAGGAACTCTGTCTGGTTCCCAGTGTCCCTACCAAATTTCAAATGAGGCATCTTAAAGTGTTGCTCTGTTTCACTTGGTATCAAAGCAGTGATTCTTCATGTGTACTTTAGCTACTGTACATTAGCACCACACATAAGCAGTCATGGTTTCCACCCACCCAAGAATTCTGGGAGCTGTAGTTTGCTAATGGTACTGGGAGTTGTTAGAGGATCTTTATTCTCATTCCTGAACTACAATTCCCAGAGTTCCCTAAGAAGAGGGGTTGATTGCCAAGTCACCCTGGGAATTGGAGCTGTGGGAGCATAGGTGTCTCCTAACAACTCTGAGCACCCTTAAACTATATTTTCAAGAATTATTTTGGGGGAAGCCATGACTGAAGTGGTATCATAGTGCTTAAAATGTATAGTCTGAATGTGTGTTCTTACACTTTCTGCTCATTCTCATCATTCTGGCAAAGAAAGACAACAGACTGCCAATTTTGGGGGAGGCAATATCACTCTACAGCTCATCTACCCCTATGGTATATTGGGTTATAACAAGGTGATGCCAGCTTCACTATATTAAAATAGACCATGTGAAAGAGAGGCAGACACAGCGGAATTCTCCAGAATAGTGTAGAGTGAATATATATAATTGAGGAGAAAAGAGGCAGGCTAGAATAAAAAGTGGGGGAAGATTTTGATATATGGTAGCTTGACTGATGACGGTCACTTTCCCAGATTTGCAAGCCCAGTGGAACAGAGTCAGATAAGCCATAAGAATCTAGAAATGCAAGCCCCTGCTTTCTTTACAGAAAATGTCTTCAGACCACAACACAAGCCACAAAGTTATCTATGCTATATTCTCTAGATTTGATTCACATCTAATAAATATTGTAGGCATTTTTCATTGTTAAAATGCTTTGAGATGTCTTTATGAGAAGAGATTATAAACCAATGGACAACACGGTATAAAAGCCAAATCAGAGCAGCCTTTCCTAGATTTGCTCCTGGCTTCTCCCGTTATTCCTTCTTTAAAACTAAAAAAAGGGACATCTGGCATCCTTAACTGTACACAATGTGCTTCTGCCGCCAGTTCAGTGTTCAAGGCTCCAGAGCGTCTCCACATGACACAAATTGTACTGTAAAGTTTAAAGCTGCACATTAAATGCCAGCCCTGTTGGTTGCTCAATGTGGTTATAGTATTTGCACATACTTTGGCGTCCTGTCACTGAAATAGACAAACCGCAACACAAACCTCCAGAGGTGCTACTGCAGAAGACAGGGGTTTAAGTCCAACCAAGGACAGAAGTAAAGGAGACTTTCTATCCTGCACAGCCTAGGTAATTCAGTCTAGATAATTCAGCAAGTTAACCTCATGGCTTGAGAGGACATGAGAGCAGTGCATGCCTGTTAGTTTAAAGTAAAAAAAACGTAAAGGACCCCTGGACGGTTAAGTCCAGTCAAAGGAGACCATGGGGTTGTGGAGCTCATCTTGCTTTCAGGTCGAGGGAGCCAGTGTTCGTCCACAGACAGCTTTCTGGATCATGTGGCCAGCATGACTAAACAGCTTCTGGCGCAACGGAACACCGTGACAGAAACCAGAGTGCATGGATATGCTGTTTACCTTTGTGCTGCAGCAGTACCTATTTATCTACTTGTACTGACGTGCTTTCAAACTGCTAGGTTGGCAGAAGCTGGGACAGAGCAACAGGAGCTCACCTCATCGTGGGGATTCGATCTGCCGACCTTCTGATTGGCAAGCCCAAGAGGCTCAGTGGTTTAGATCACAGCGCCACCCGTGTCCCTTGTTAGTTTAAAACATCTGCTAAAGGCTTAGATGTGGTCAGAGCATTCGACTTTTGGAAATAACTAATTTGTTCTCTCCATTGATTATTGCCTCTGTCCAGCTACCCTCTGCTGTTCTCCATCCTAACCTCAACCCATTTTTCCAGTTTCTTACGGCCATACATGGAATAATTCAACTTCTGGCCTAAAGTCTTCATATTTGGAAAATCTGTGTAAATTATGCCTACCATAGTTATTTTGAAGACATAAAATGTTCTCTTGGCTGAAAGCTATGCAAATTCTGACTATATAGCAAGTTTCAATTATTTTAATCAAAATGAGGACATGGCAAGTAAAATTGTTTAGGAAGTTTTCTTCAGCAGAGACTGTTTCAAGATAAAAGACTTTGCAGGTTCGTACTATGCCTGGGCAGAAACTGTGCACATTTCCCAGGTAGGTAGCTGATTCTACTGAAATTAAGTAGAGCAACATGAGGACATTAGTCATTTACAGACCTGCCAAGCCTCACACTGAGGCCTGCCACTTACTATTTGCATCACTCCACCCTCCCCACCCTTCCCATTCTCCACGCTGTGATCAAACAGCCATGAGAAAGCTAATTCATCACTTTGACCAGAAGAGTCCGTGCAGAAGGAGTTCTGGCAAGGCTGCTACAAGCCACGTTAGGGGCAGGGGGAGAACACACACATGGGATAAGTTCCACAGGAATTTGGCAGCTGAAGAACAGGGAAAGAGAACTGGATTCATTTCAGGGGGGGAGGGGGGAGAAAACACAAGAGGAGATTCCGAAGTCTCCAGACTTTCACATTTCACATTTGGCAGTCTGTTTCAGCAACCGATAAGTCTGGAAATAGGTTAACCAGAAACAAAGGCCGGCTGGGTGGCCTCTTTCAGTTGCTGAGTTGTCTTTACATTCCAAGCTCACATTGTGGAGAAGATGTATGCGAACTTAGAACATCATGGAGAACACACAAAATCCACGGGACTCCAGGTAGTAGCTGGCCTTTATGAGAAACTTGAAGATGCAAGCCACTATTCAAGGGCTCACTCAAAACCTTTACATCCTCTGCCCCATTACCTTGAACTGGTCCATGGCTTAGTCAACAAGAGAGCTCTATGAGGATCTGGATTTCTCAGCACCTTTTGCAGTTCGTCTCAAAATAAGCAAAAATGGGTAACAGGTCAAAGCCTCTGCTGGAGAGAGCAAGAGTCTAATTGCACTGAAGTTCAAGAGTCCATAATCTGCTTTCTTCTGCTCCACCATTCATAGTCAAGTGGCATAGAGGTGCCTTCAGTATTATCCCTTATTTGGAGCTCCAAACTATGGAATAGGAGGAGCACTTGAGTCCTGCAAGGAAAGAGCTGCCATCCAGTAGATGGCAAAGGGAAAGCAGGGAATGCCTGGAGACTGCCTGGAGAAATAGAGTTTCCATCCTCTAGCTCAAACTTTCTCAACCTTGGGTCCCTATATGTTGTAGGACTACAACTCCCATCATTCCTAGTGATGATGGGAGTTGTAGTTCAAGAAGATCTGGAGATGTTGAGAAAGGCTGATCTAGCTCAAGTTGCAGAAGGAAAAGGTTTGTGCTTAGGAAAACAAAAAGAATGCATTGATGATACCAATTTGAAAGTGTCTGGAGAAATGAGCACAAGGAAACACTGAACCTGTGCTCTGTGGCAGGGCAGTGGGAAGCAGAGAAGGGTCTTCAATGCAATCTTTGACTATGTAGTCAGCAGGAATGGATAAGGTTATGTTTTTATTTTATTTATTTAAACAATTTATACAATGCTTAATTAAGATGCATCTCAAAGTGGTTTACAAGGATATGCACTCTCTAGGAAACAAAAACATACAGGGTTTATTCCAAGTTTATTCCAAATCAGATTAACCACCCTAATTCTGTAAAAAAACAAAACGGGATCTTTACACAATAACATTTAATCTCTACGAACATAAAAGGATGGCCAACATGCATTGTAAGGCAACAGAGTCACATCTTAAGTGATCCTCAGCTACACAACAGGAATTTCAAGCATATGTGGCTTGCTTATTACCTGCTTGACAGGTCCTGCACCACCATTCCTTAAAGACATAGTAAGAACCTAACAGCCCTGCTGAATCAAGCCAAATGCCCATGGGTCCAGCATCCTGTTCGCACAATGGCCAGCCAGATTCCTATGAGAAGCCTGCAAGCAGAATGTCAGTGCAACAGCACTCTTCCCACTTGTGATTGCCAGTAACCAGCAATCAAAAGCATAGGGGCTCTGACAATAGGGGCACAACACAGCCATCTTCTCTAGTAGTCACTGACATCCTTATCCTCCACGAATCTATCTGGTCTTCTTTAAAGCCATCCAAATTGGTGGCTTTCACTACTACTTGTCTAAACAAAATCCATCATTTAACTAAGTACTCTGTGAAATACTTCGTTTTGTCTGTTCTGAACCTTCCAATATTCAGCTTTATTGGACAGACCCAAGCTCTGGTATTACAATGGGGGGGGGGGACTTTCCCCTGACCACATCTTATGGGCCTTTTCGCTAATCCAAAAAGCACCATATGTGGTAACCTTTCCTCATAGGGAACTTGCTCCTACCCTGTGATCATTCTGGTTCCCCCATGCTGACCACTTTCCAGCTCTTCAATAACCTTTTGGTGGCAGTGCAACCAGTGCTGTACACAGCATTCCTAGTGTGGCCTCACTACAGGTTCGAATAGTGATCCAAAGGGTATGGGCAAGGTTAATATTGGACCTGAATTAATCACTGGGATTTCTGCATCAAAGAGATTGCCTAAATCTATGCAGTTGCGTTAACTACACAACTTTAGAAACCTCTGTCTTTAGAGACTCTTCCAATCTGAACTAAGAGATTTTCCCTTTTTGTTGAAGCAAGAAAAATATATCCACAGGAAACATGGGGCCCAAAGATTGTCAGAAGCCCCTTTCCCCAAATTTATACATCATTTGCCAGAGACTTCAGAATTTGCTGTGCATAAATTACTATCAAGAGACTGCAATCAAGCATGGTTATTAAAGTACATAAGACTGTTTGTCACAGAGGGTGCAATCAAATTCTGCCCCTACATTGATAGAAGGGCTTTTTAACTAGCAGAAGCATCCACTAACAGGAGACAAGGGGATGCAATTTTTGCCAATTTCCCTTCATCACAGTAGACCCTGAATCAGCTCCAGAAAGTTGGGGGATTCGTTTAACATGACAACCTTCCACTTCCACTAGTGGGGCACCTCTGCTGGCTCAATGATCTGCCTGTGAATGTAAGGGCACTAATTGGATCACACCTGGAAGGTTTTGCAAAAAGCTTCAGGAAGAAGTAGCTACTGCAAGAAAATGTAACAAGCCATGAAGGAGCATGAAAGGCTATTTATTTGGAAATGCTTTCTACAGTCCACCCTCAGGATCAGCCCAAGATGTTTTGCCATTATGGTGGCAGTATAATAAAGTCATTCTGCAAAATGGCTGGGTACCAGCAAGCAAACTGAAAATTAAACTATGTTTAATTTGACTATTCTCACACCATATTCATCTCTCCCTAAACATAGCTCTCGTAGGCCCTGCATCCTTGATTTGCCCCAGTGTAGCTCTGATATTAAGCTGCCTAGCTGTGAGATTCCCCAGGAGCCTTATATAAAGGGAAAGCATATTAAGTGTAGCAAGTAATCCAATTTACCTTGTGATAAGACAGACCTATAAGCAATTTTTCAGGCAGAAAGCAGCTGAACACCACATTCAATGTTTGCACTGCCTTGTCACCACTAACTTTTGGCTTTCACCCAAAGTTAAAAATACAACTCCCGCTGTCCCTAGCGTCGGCAGAGACAGGGCCAAAGCTGTTGCTCCACAGGGCTTGAGTGATGCATTCACCTTTGCCAATGTTTGCTCTAGGACACAAACCTTAATGGCTTACCTAGAGGGTTTGCTCCTGCCATTTAACATACCATAAGGGGACGTCTTTCTTGTAAACACTACTGAAAACACACATTAAAAGGGCAGTTAACTACCCCCTGCACATGAATAGAAAGTCACTGCAGAAAACGCAACAGGCTTGCCCTTGTTAATTTTCATGAACATTTGGTTTCCTAATGTGTATTAAGACTTAAAACAAAGAAGAAGAAGAGTTTGGATTTGATATCCCGCCTTTCACTCCCCTTCAGGAGTCTCAAAGCGGCTAACATTCTCCTTTCCCTTCCTCCCCCACAACAAACACTCTGTGAGGTGAGTGGGGCTGAGAGACTTCAGAGAAGTGTGACTCGCCCAAGGTCACCCAGCAGCTGCATGTGGAGGAGCGGAGACGCGAACCCGGTTCCCCAGATTACGAGACTACCGCTCTTAACCACTACACCACACTGGCTCTCAGGAAACAAAATGGGGAGGTAAAAAAAAAAATCTAAACAAGGTGTGTAGCTGGAAAGGAGGTTAAAATGAGTCTTCAGGAGTCTTCTTTGCCTTTGAGCATTTTGTGAGCACTGAGACCTGATCTCATAAAGGACCACAAACGTGAACAATTTAGGTTCAATACTGGCAGGCGCAATCTGCACTAACACTGCTAAAATCTGCCGCAGCACAGAGTTTGCCTTCCCTTACTCCTGATTTCTCCATAGCATCATTTTAAAAGCTAAAGGGGATGGAAAGGAGACTGAAGCAAAGCTCACATATTTGAGATTTAAAGTTCTTTTATTTCTAGATATATATATATTTGCCTTCAATCCTCTTTCACACTAGTTTCTCTGAGCACACAAACTTTCCCCCTCCAGGAATTACCGTTTTGCCATGTGAATAGCTAGAGCCCTTTGACTCCCCCGCCCTCCCCGTCATGCACGAATTAACAGCCACCTCAACTCCAGGCTGCATCCTGCACTATTGTTATGAAGGCAGAAGCTGCTTTTGTGATCCCCAAAGGACAGAGGCTTGCTTTCAGAAGGCTGGATCTGCCTGGACAGGGTCTCGGCATTTCCTAGCTGCTGTTCCTTTGTTCCTCACCCACTCTGCCTCACACCACAATTGTTCTCAGCAACTCCAATTCTTCTCTGCTTCTCAGATTCCCAGAGTTTCCATTCAAGGCCTGTTTCTCAGGGTCTTAATAGCAGAACCAGGAAAGAAGAAGGGTGCAGAGCTGCAAAACACCACAACTTGCATCCTAAGTGGGGTGGGGCGGGCAGGGGGGGGCTCTCATTTTGCAGCCTGCTGTCGAGTTCTGCGCCAGCACCGCTTCCAGGAACAGCGCTAGAAATGACAGGCGAAAAATGCAACCCGGCCAAGAGGAACATTATTATTACTACAAAAAAAAGACATTTCTTTTATTCAATGCCTGAAGAAAAAGGGAAGGCTTTCTAGCAGGATTTGAATGAGTCCATTAACAGAAGGGAATTCTCAAAAGCAAGATTGTTGCCATTTGCAAAGATCCTACCTCTCCCTCTTGCACATTCTAGGATATTAGCCAAAAGGATGGGCCGGGTTGTTTGAAGAGCGCAATGCTACTTCCTAAAAGCTCAAGCTGTAAACTTTAGGACAAATATAATCCCTTCCCCCTTTTAATGAAAGCTGTTATTGTCATTGTCTGAAAGGGGAAGAGCGGTTACTTGCCAAGGATTTAGTTGTCCTTCTAGACATCATGGAATCCTCTTTACTTATCCCTATCTAGGACGGTGCCTCAGTACAGTAAGGAAAAGGAAAAACCCCTTGGACTGAGCCAAGTGGAAAAGGCAGCCAGGGAGCGATTTGCAAAGAAACACAGCCATTTGAAAGGCACTGAGACAGATTCCACAATTCCACTTAAAATGCTTTTGAGGCTCTCCCCCACTGTTGGTGCACATGCCAAAGAGAAAGAGAAAGAGAGAGAGAGAGAGAGAGAGAGAGAGATGCAGGTTTGAATGCAGATTAAATTCCTGTGCATTGGATTTTTTAAATCCACCGGATGGCCATGCCAAAAGGGGGCTTTACAACCCCCTTTCAGTCTTTCTGGATTTGCAACGCCTACTGAAGAGCATTTCCAGTGCTCTACTCTGTTTACTCCCCTTCGCCCTGCATGTAAGTGTACTTTGGAGCAGGAGGGGTGGAATGGAGCCGTGGCCAGTTTCACCAATAATGGGAAAACTAGGGGTCGCTTTTGAAAAGAGTATGTCAATGCATCAGGACTGGTGTGTGGATAGACACAGGGAGAGAGAAGTGGCCAACCTTTGCACTAACCTGATCCACTTCACTGCAGAGCCCAGTGGGAGAGATGAAGGAAACTGTAGCAGAGTGAGCTAGGATACCTGTGGATAGGATAACTAGGTTGGTTATTTATTTATTTGTTATTAAATTTCTATCCCACCCTTTAACTGAGAATCACAGGGCAGCAATATAAAAACATAAAAATACATCACCTAGTTTTTGTTTGTTTAATATTCCGCCCTATACCCAGAGGTCTCGGGGTGGCCCACAGAATTAATGGTTTAAAAATATATATGCAATATATATGCATGTGCTATTTCAGCCCAGCTTCCATTTTCAATTTTGATCATCAGCACAACAGAGTGGGCAGTGCTTTGTGTAGGAAAACATGCATGTTAAAAATTGGCTTGAAGCGTGTTGCTAGCTGTTAATCAGGGCTGATTCAACATCCAGAAAAGGAGAGCTGGCTCCTTCAACCCAACTCAGAAGCTTCTGGCAAGGCATATAAAGCTTAAGAGTTGAATACCAATACATCCTCCTACCTCAATGAGAGGCTCACAACAAACTTTAGATCCAGTTCAACAGGGGTCAGGGAAGAAATTACCTTTTTGCCAGAGGGCAGGGTACAATAACGTCAACAAGCTCTGAAGAAGATATTCAGTGCACAAGTACAAGGGAAAGTTAAGGGCTGGGCTCATCATTTTACCCACACCCAGAGAATTGCCTGCCAGATTTATAATTAGTTAGGTCGAAGGGATCATTCACGGGCTCTAGAGATAGATATAAGACTACAGGCGTTCAGGTGTATTTATGGTTAGATGAACAAGCAAGGAAGTCTTGGAGAATATGCTTCTTCCATGGATGCACAAAAGTCCATCTATCCATACCCCTTATAAGTGTCTTGAACATCCCAACAACCCATACAGAAAGCAAGACACTCCAGAAGTCACACTTAGAATGGGGACCTCATCACAACGCCCCCCAGTGCCAGTCTCAGAGCATTTGTTGCCAACAAATGACAGGCACTGCTAACTTTGGTTCTGGGATGTTACAAACTAGAAAGTGATAAGTTAGGTATCTTCATATTTATTCCTTTGTTAAATTTGCATCATGTTCTTCTGTCAAATGTTCCTCATGGGACAAGTTCCATTTTTAACCCGTGTATTCTTGTTCTCTGAACTTCATTAAAGCTATTTCATATCCACAGCGGCTGACTTCTCCCTGCTTAAGTTCACACACACAGAGATCCCATGTACAGTGGTACCTAGGATGTCGAACGGAATCTGTTCCGGAAGTCCGTTCGACGTCCAAAACATTTGGAAACCAAGGCACGGCTTCCGATTGGCTGCAGGAAGCTCCTGCAACCAATCAGAAGTCGTGTCAGACGTTCAGGTTCCAAATAACATTTGCAAACTGGAACACTCACTTCCAGATTTGTGGCGTTCGGGAGCCAAAACATTTGAGTCGCAAGGTGTTCGTCAACCAAGGTACAACTGTACTTTGTAGCTTAGAGTTCCATCCAGCAGACAGTGTGGCAGAGGACCAACAACGTAGCAGGAATAGCATCACCCAGGGTGCTGTGGTCAGGTGGGAGGATTAATGAGAGCAATTGTTACAGGCAACACGTCTATAGCCCAATCCTATTTACTTACTAACGGCATTTACTGTCTTTCTGCCAGGGCATTCTGGGCAGTTTACTATTTAAGCTCAAGCCAAAACAAGCAAACACACAAGGCAAAACAGAACACATTCCAGGTGAGTGCTGGTCTCCTCAGAAGCAGGCTGCACAAGCTCCCTGGCCCAGGTCTTCGCCTCTAAGTACAAAAAGGAACGTGTGATACTTAACTGCAGCTATGAGCAAACTGAAGTTTCTAATTGTTCAAAGACAGAGGAAAGAAATAATTTGGCCATAGAGTGACCGGCACACACCTTTACTATCATGGTAACTGGCCAGTAGAAACAGTATCATGGTGGGCACTTTGTCTCGCTGTGGGTGGCTAACCTGCAGCACTCCAGATGTAAGAGGCCAACTCCCATCCACACTGGCCCCTGGCCATGCTGTATGGGGCCGAAGGGAGCTTTGGGACACGACCCTGATCATACTACATGCAGCTGAACCTGACCCTTTTCAGCCAGCATGTTCGGTTCAGTCAAACGAAGTGGTCTGAGTGAAGACTGGGACAAGAACATGTGGGACAAGAGCAGGCTTGCATTAGGAGATGTAGGTATGAAATGGGCCCTATTAAAGACAGCAAGCTACTAGCTAGCCGGATATAGCAGTTTTATAACAGTCCAAGTGTTGAATTTAACGCAGGCAAAGGTTACCTTGAACAGCAGTAATATAAGAGCATTGTGCAACACATTTGTTGTTAAAGCAGCATGTTGTAATACCAATGAAACTATATTCACAGCTGCATCAATTTTCACCCATGATATATTTTTTTTCCAGAGTAAGAAGGGGACTTTGGGGAGCACAAAAAATACCACCTCTGTGTAGTCCGAGTTTTGTACTTTTAAACAGCTGAAGTTAATAAATGTCCCTTTTTAGCTTTCAGCTTTGGTAATGCTAAACATCCAATCAGTTCTTCAGATTTTGCTATAGGATATCACCAGTGCAAATAAATTGCCTTTACTAGGAATTTGTGGGTGGGGAAAGAACACTGGTATTCGAGTCAATGCTCCTAGCCCTTGCCACTGAGGAATGGGGGACACACCAAAACAAGAAAGAAGATATAAACTCAATTGCAGTGGTTCATTGCAAAGGCATACTCCATCCAGGGAACACTCTGCACCCCTTTGAAACATGGAGGAGGGGAAGTTTTTTGGAGCTCAAACCAGTTTATAAAGATCTCTCAGCCAAGCAAGCCTTCCTCCCCTCAGTTCTAGTATTAATTAGCTGCTGGCTGCCACTGTTCCAACCCCAGACTCAATGCCCAGAGCACCACCACTGTTCTGCCTCACAACTGATGGCACTATAAGGATGCCTGCTTGAGACTTTGCCAGAAATCCCCACGCTCAGAAACACTCATCACCCCATGAAAATGGAACAAGTGCCTTGAGGAGCTGCTATATTCAGAATTTGATTCCTTAAGATGAGATGGCTGTGAAACGGGCAACTGAACTTGCACATTAAGAGAGACGTTTTGAAAAGGATGGAGCAAATTTAGTCTATAGCCAACATTACAAGGTTGTGAAATACAGTCGTACCTTGGTTTTGAACAGCTTAGTTCTTGGACGTTTTGGCCCCCGAATGCCGCAAACCTGGAAGTGACTGTTCTGCTTTGCGAACTATTTTTTGAACCCAAACGTCCAATGGGGATTCTGCAGCTTCCAATTGGCTGCAGGAGCACCCTGCAGCCAATCAGAAGCTGCACCTTGGTTTCCGAACGTTTTTGAAGTCAAACGGACTTCCAAAACGGATTCTGTTCAACTTCCGAAGTACGACGGTATATAGTGCAGACAAATGAGTATTGCATTCTCCATAACGTAATGTTTGACACCAGACAATTTTCCTGATGACAGGTCAGGGAGTGGGGAGAAAAAAATGGCAGGACTATTCGGAGGCCTGAGGCATGCTTTCCCTTTCTTCATGCAGCCCTATATGTGTGGAAGGAAAGAAGCAAGAGAGGGAAGAGAGGGAGAGACAGAGGAAAAGGAAAGCTATATTATGATGGTGCCAAAACAGCACAATATAGAATACTATACACGCACCAATATGCAACACTATACAATAATGCTGTATATTGAATGTATGGTATATATACAATATGTATAGCATTATAGCGCACATGTGTGTGTGTACCAAAATGGCTTCCCAGAAATTATCCATTCCATTTTTAGGAAGCAAAATTGGGGAGGGAGAGGCATATCTTCCAAATAGTCTCTGGGGTGTGTGGGGGTGTGGAATTCTCCAACAGATTTGGGGTGGCAGGGGAAAAAAGACAAATTCTCAGAAATTCTTGCAAACCATTTAGCTTAATTTTAATATTGAATTAAAATACATTGTTAATTCATACTGGTGAATGCAGGAAGCAAAGGGCTAAAGCAAAGAATGGAAGGCATAGGGGACATTGCATTCTTCAACAGTTTGAAAGAAGCCCAAAAGAAAACCCACATGCTAAATAGTGCAGGAAGAAAATCTCTCCCTCCCTGTTTCTGCCCCACTGCTCACTCTCAGAGAGCTCCCGTCTGCTAATGATCTACACAACTTAGTCTAGGCAGAATGAGGTTTCCTGTGCTGGCCAATTCTTTTTCCAGCATTTCCCCTTTTCCAGCCCTCTCCCACCCCCATCTTCTGCACCCCACTCCTCTGTTTTGGAGGAGAGGGGTGCAAAATCTGGAATTTAATAATTATAGTGGTGACCCTACCTTGAGACATCTGAGTTGTCTCACAATGTTGTCTGACTTAAGTGTCTCTGCTAAAATCAACATTAGCAACATAGCTCACTACAGTTCCTCACTGCTGCTGCTTTAACTCTCATTTGGAAAATATTTACAAGCTAGCCAAAAGATCTGGGAGTTATTAGACAATTAGCGGAGGCTAAAATGGTTCCTTACTGTTCCCCTGCAGGGGAAGAGGGAAGTTTTGCACAGCCAACTGTCTTTCACACATGCATCTTTTAATTATTGCCATATGAAGCTCCCTTCCCTGCATGCGGCAAGTGCTGAAGCTTTCCATAACAGGACTTTAACACTATTTTGCCCACAGCCCCAACTATCATACTAGTAATTATGGGCAAAGAAAACAACCCAAGATTCCTAAATGAGCACATGCAGATTATGCACAGGTGTTTCTCATCATCCATGGGCAAATCCTTCATCCGTTGATGCGTCTCTCGTGATCTATTGCATTCTTCTCTTTAAAACTTATTCAGTAGGTGCTTTGGGCTTAAGTTAGCATTGCTGAATTCTGAAGTAATCCAAGTTGCTTAGACAAGTTCTTAACACAGCTCTGAACACTTGTACAGTGGTACCTCGGGTTACATACGCTTCAGGTTACATATGCTTCAGGTTGCAGACTCCGCTAACCCAGAAATAGTACCTCGGGTTAAGAACTTTGCTTCAGGATGAGAACAGAAATCGCACAGCAGCGGCGCAGCGGCAGCGGGAGGCCCCATTAGCTAAAGTGGTACCTCAGGTTAAGAACAGTTTCAGGTTAAGAACAGCCCTCCAGAATGAATTAAGTACTTAACCCGAGGTACCACTGTATTTCCATTTAAGTTCTATAGCCACAAAAACTCAAAACGTTTGCAGGTGGGAAGTGGACAGACTTCTGAATTCACTTCGCCTTCCCATGAGTGGTTAGGCTTAAGGCTAGAACAAGGAAGAGATGGGTATGGAAGGGCTTGGAGATGTTAAATCTCAGAATACAGGCCCAGACAGCACACTCCTGCGTAAACGTATTTCAGCCAGCATGGTAACCAAAACATCTGAAAGACACAACGCCCACCATCCCTGACTAGTAGTCATGCTGGATGGTACTGGTGAGAGTTAAGTGTCCAAAACATGTGGAGGGCACCAGGTTGATGGGAAGGTTTAGGACCAGCCACTGCAAGTTCTTGTAAACAAATGGTGAGATCATGACACTGTTCCTGCAGATTTCAACACCTTTCCACATTGCCGTGTAGGCACATGTGAATGGGGCATGCCGTAGGAGCCACCTCCATGGGGCCAAGGTCACTTCAGCCCCAATAAAATATTTGAGGGGTCCAGGTCCTCTCAAAGCTAGTGGGCATTGCCATTCAAATGGTGTGTGCGCGCTGTGTCATACGATCAATTATGTAGAGTGGGGCTTTCCTGGCCACCCACCAATATTTTATTCAAATTGGCACCCCCAGGTCATGCTATATCTCATCTCCTTCCTTGCTCCTTTGTATGTATGTATGCTAATTTAGGCTCTGCAAAAGCTGAATGATAATTCCGCAACTTCAACCATTTGCAGTTTACACGGTGTTTCAAATAAGGGTTGAGTTTTCTTGAAGCATATTATAGGAATGGCTACAGCCAACCACAAGACTGCTAAGCTGTTTTACAAAATGTTCATAGGAGACTGCAAGCAGGCATTAAACAGTCATACATGCAAGTGGTCCTCAGTTTACTCCCCAGCAGCTCCTGCTGAAAACAGGCCAGGAAGCAAGTGATAGGAATGACACCAGCCTGAAGAACTACTGCAAGCCAAGGCTTTAAACTCAATGGGAAAGGGCTATAGCTCAGTGGCAGAGCACACGCCATGTGCGCCAAAGGAGCTGGGATTAAGCCTTGACATTTCCAGGTAGGGTTGGAAACGTCCCCTTTCTGAAAACTTAAGAGAGCCACTGCTAGTCCATGTAGGCAGTACTAGGGCTGATGGAAGTTGTAGTCCAACAACATCTGGAAGGTTGGGAAAGGCTGACTCAAGTATGATTTATTATTATTGAAATAAGACAGGATCCAAATTAATTCTTTGTGTGTAAGCAAGAAGACTGGTCCCTACTCCAAGCTGGTCACAATTTACCTTTAAACAGGTGGTATGCAAAGAAAGGGGCAAGTGCTTAGAAATCATTTTAGTATCTTTAGATACTAGGGATAAGGCCCAAGGGATTAAGCGAAAGCTTCTTCCAGATCTACACAACAACCACCTTGCTCAAAATAAAATGTCCCCACCCCATGTCAATCCAACAGTCCTCATTTAAGCCAGAGAACTGCATACACAGGAAATGTTTATAGATTTTATTAGGTACGGCCTTGGCTGGCCTTCAGAGGGCTCAGCACACAATAGTCAGGGGAACAGCCAAAGTCAGCTTGAGCTCTGACCCTAAAGGGGCCGAGATGATCTCTTGCTTCATTCCCAGGATAGTTTTTCCATGTTGTGGAAGTTAGACCTTTACCATCCTTGAAACACAGGAATGGAAGAGGCAAAGAACACACACAGTTTGAGGAAACACTTAACTATTCTTCTGTGGAACGCTGCTAATGCAATGCAGGCAAACCTTCCCCAGCCTGATGTCCTCTAGATGCTTTGAACTTCAATCAGTCCAAGCTAGCATGGACAATGGAAAAATTGGTGGAATTTTTAGTACAACATCAAGGGCGCCATGCTGTGGAAAGAGGCATAAGCAGTTTTTTCCCCCATTGACAAGGTCCAGTTGGGCATCATAATCTAATATTGCACTGCACAACAGTCCTGTGGTTCTTCACTTGTCACCTCCTACAGTACAAATCTTTTTTTCATTTTTTTACCAGCTTACCCCAGCTGGTAAAAGATGAGAGAATTCTCATTCTATTTAAAGCAACACCTACTGGAAGAGAATGAACATTAAGCAGAACCTCTCCGTCGTGGTACTTCACTGTTTCTTTTCCAGGATCCCTTGACTGGAAGAAGGGACAGGGCACGCTAAAGAAGGTAAAGATGATATAACAAGGTCCATGAATCTTTCAACAATACATAGGGAGGAATTGAGGCCACAGGCAGCAGCCTTGCTCACTCTTGGAATCAGAATGCCAATCACTGTGCTGAATCGACCAAGAAGGATGCCAGGGGTTCAGCTGAGACTTTGAAGCTTTGTAAAGACCTAATACTTGGCAGCAGTTAGGACCTATGCCAAATCTACTAAGGACTTGTTCACACAATTTCTCATACAGGTAATTTAGCTCACCATTGTTCGTAAGCAATGTTGTGAGATCTCAAACCCTTTTGAGGTATGCAGACCCCCTCTCCTCCCCCCTAGATTTCCTTACACACAATAGGCATAAAGGTAAAGTACACAGTAGACGAATATAAAAACTTTCCAGAATCTCTCAGCTACCTTCATGTTAATGTGAACTCTTGAAGTTAGGCAGTTTATTATTCCCTCCCTTCTCTGGTCAAGTGTACATCGCAGAGAAATCTGTGCCTGCATAGAGATCCAGGCTGCTGCAATGGGGGGAAGCAGAACTGGAGAGAACTCGCTTTCCATTTGATAGCATACAGCACTGCAGAAGTGCTAAGGATCTCTTTACTCAAAAACAGATGGGCTTAAACAAACTGCAGATTAAGTCACTTGGGATCTCTCTTGCATTTGGACACTGGATCAATTTGAGGCTACATTTAATATCAGTAAAGACACTGCAGCGTTATTTTTCACTTTTGTGCTACTTCCGGTTTTTTTTATTTAAAAAATGCAGCAGCTTTGGAGTTCAAAATGCTGCAGAGTGCAGCTCCAATTCCTCCATTTAGGAGTAATATATTCTGCTGTAAGAGAGTGAAGCAATTTAAGCACGGTGTATGTGTGTCCCGTTTAGGTACACTGTATTCGGTGCAGATGTCTGGAGCTCCTCCTCAGCAAGATTACAGCAAATACTATAACTTTTATTTGACACATGCATTGCAGGAAACACATTTCCATTTATTTCAGTGCAAGCTGAAAATATTGACACTAGTATGCACAGGAGTGTGGGATGTTTCCAAAATAACTGGGTATCTCAATAGGAATGCTTGAGTAAAGGAGGAGTGCTTATTCATGTAGTGCCCCTCTTGCTAATGCAGAGTCCTGCATGCCATCAAACACCAGGAGCCCATGCAGGCCACCTGAAACAGGTCACCAGGCAGCATCTAGTAACAGTTTCTGTGGTCTGGAAGCCTTGCATGTGCTTTTATAGTACAGTTCTGCCTTGCGTGATGTACATGCAGCAGTTACTTTCCTTGGAAGCATCCAGCACTGGCCAGTGCCCAAGTCTGTCCATAAAACAGCGCAGCCAGCCATTAGTTCCTGAAGTTTCCACTTCAGCTTTATGCTTCCGTGGCACGCTGGACCTCTCAGCCAAGAAGCACCCAAGACTACAAGAGCAACCATATGAGAGGCAGAGAAGATTCATCATCATCCAGTTCAAGCCACCACTACATTCATAGGAGATAATTCAGTCCCTGGCACCAGAGCATAGCAAGTAAAAAACATATGGAGATTTGAGTACAGCCACAAATGAAAGGCATGGGTTCACTGGAAGAGAAAGATAAAACCTGGTATGTACAAGGGCTGGGGAAATTAAAAAAAACAACAACAAACACATGATCCCACATATTAGGAGAATGTATGTAACCGAGCAAGGAAGTAAGATGTTCAGTGGACTTCAAGGGACCTGAACTGAAGAGGAGGAGCCCTGCCAGATCAGGCCAAAGACCCATCTAGTCCAGCATCCTTTGACCAGCCAGATGCCTTTAGGAAACTTAGTTTATATGGAGATGTTTCCTCTCATACAAGACACAGACTTCCATGCCCAAGTTTTACTCATCACATTCATGCCCCATCAAGACTGCTGTATGCCTCAAGCAGAGATCAGGATGGGATGAGGCATACTGAACTTCAGAAATTTCCTTGTGCAAGCAACCACTCTATATTATTAACCAGCATTCAAAAACATCAGTCTTCTTGACGGAAAAATCATTTGCCATCCCAAATCCATGTGAAGCACTTATAGAACAGGGGCAGGGTCCAAGGAGCATTTTTGGTTGTCTCCCCACTGCTATGTAGGCCAAATGTAACAGGTGGCCAGGTTGCGCACCTGTCAATCACCTGACATCACTATGACATCAGGTGATGCTGCACTTTGAAGCCCCAATTGTTAGGACTTCCAAGGCTGTTTGAAAGCATTTTGCGGTTTGCAATGGGCTTTCAGACACCCACGCAGCCCCTGCTCCTGTTTCAGCCTCTGGGATTTTTTTTTTTAATTCCTTTTGGATGGACCAGCTGTCTGCAGGAGGAGTCCCATGCACAGTCGGTCCTTCCAAAATGCAACCGCTTCCAAAATGAGCTGCTTTCATTGGCTGTGTGTGCCAAGCTGGGTCCTATGCAAGCTGCTCCTTTCGACTCCCGGTTTTGGAAGTTGAAAGGGCCGCTTCAAAGAGCAGCACAGAGAGGGAGAAGCAGTCTCCATTCAAGGAAAACTGCTTCCTCCTCCTTCAGCAAGGCACACTCCTCCTGGCCATCAGCTGAAGGGTAAGCAAGAGCATTCCTTGCCCCAACAAAGGAACAATTGGGAGCCCATTTCAAGCTACCCATTGAAGCCCTGCCCTTATCAGACCCCCAGCAGGGCAAGATTAGCCCATAGTCTTCCCCAGCCCTGCCTGAGAATTTCCTCAAGTATGCCAGTACCACTGAATCCCAGTTCCCAAGCTACAGCACACATGGTACCACCTCAGAAGGAACTGGAAGGGTGATGTTTGCAAATCATGCTTGAACATCCAACCGACAGGTCAATTACAGTGGTGCCCCGCAAGACGAATGCCTCGCAAGACGGAAAACCCGCTAGACGAAAGGGTTTTCCGTTTTTGAGTTGCTTCGCAGGACGAATTTCCCTATGGGCTTGCTTCGCAAGACGAAAATGTCTTGCAAGTCTTGAGATTTTTTTTCCGCTTTCCCCCCCCCTTTATCTAATCCGCTAAGCCTTTAAGCCTTTAATAGCCGCTAAACCGCTAATAGCGCTAATCCGTTAAGCCGCTAATAGGGTTGCTTCGCAAGACGAAAAAACCGCTAGACGAAGACTCTCACGGAACGGATTAATTTCGTCTTGCGAGGCACCACTGTACTTTGGCCAGATCCATCCACAGCACAGTCACTTTGACATCCTCCACTGTAGAACACAATAAGTCAAAATCACATCCTGGCAGCAGAGGGGCTCAGAAGCTCTCTCCTTCTCGGATACAATGGCAACACAGCAGAGCTGCCATGCCCAGAATACAGCTCTGTGCTAAAGATTTGGCAGCGCATTGGAATGCAACAGCTGCAGTCGACACCAGAAAGGCTTCTCAACAGTTCACCTCTATTTACAATACACGTTTCTGATTACACTCCGAGAAACCCCAAGTTCCTTGGGTGAGTCATGCCTGCACACACATCCCTCCAAACACAAATGGCGCGCGCACACACACATACACACAACCCAAGCTAAGCACAACTGCCACAGGAGCTTGCTCTCAAGGGAGCCTATAGATGACCAAGGTATCGTTTTACAGATAACACAATCCATCACTGTGTCCACCCAACACCAGCAGCTCTGTCCATCTTAAGTGCCACATGCTGGCAGCCATTGCAAAAGGGGTGCTCTAACTGCTTCCAAGACAGTCTGAGTTGTCAACTTTTGCTCTCCAGCCTCTATCAATGAATCCCCAAAGTGACTATTTTTGAGATCACTTCCCTTGCAAAAAAAAAAGCCAACTCAAAAATTTCCATGAAGCCAGCTGTCACCCCAGTCATACTCCATGCCCACAGCTAGTTCTTCCACTCTGAGGTCTAAGGACACCACCACTTCATGCTCATGCCTGACACACAGCTGCGTCACTGCTGCTCGCATCTCACATCAAGCTGGTGTCTTTTCATTCATCTCAGGAGTATGGCCATATATTGAACTTCTGCCTTCTAGCTAAAACACAACATTTGGGGGTATGCCATGCAGCAAGAGGTGCTTTCTAACAGCTGGACATGCCACCTTCTCAATCTTCTAGATTAACAGGGCAATTTCAGCCAGAATGCGACTCGGATCAAGAAAGGGGCTGTAGGACTGAAAAGAAACTCAGCCTGGCTTCATGTGGGCGGGGGACTCTGAACTTTGATTCCAGATAGGTGCTGGCTGCTCTGAAACCAGCTGGTTTTAGACAAAAAACCACAGCCTTGAAGTGGAAAGTCCCTTTCACTCTCAAGGGAAACATTTCCCAGCACTGCTTCGGTGAAAGGAGGAAGTCTTCACCTATTGAACTTCTACCTGCCGTTCAAAGGAGCAGGAACTCTGCCAGAAATCGTAGCAAATCTACCCACAACCCAGAGCTTTCCCCTCCCACTGCTTTATGCCCCCAGCAAACCTACCACTGCCAACAGGAAATGGAACAGAAAAGATTAATCATTAGCGTAGAATTAAGGGGAGGAAGGCAAAGGAGACTTGGGGGGGGGGAACTGAAGCGATCGTATAGGCGGACGACTCCTGTTTTAATATTACTTCTCAAAGCTGGCTCTCCGCTGTGACGACGTGGCCCCTCTTCCCACCCCCCGAATTAATAGCGCCAACCTTATCCTCAGGTGCCCACACAAAGCGGATCAACCCTTAATAACAACTCGACGCGGGAAGGAACCCCGTCACGTGGGAACCCCAGAGGGGCGATCAACCCAGTGGGATCGCCGTGTCCAAAAACTAATATTTCGAGAGGACGGTGGCGGGGGGAGGGAAGGGAATAACACTAAGGAGAAGTATCCCCAACAAGCAAAAGATCCGGAAGAGGGGGAAAGACGTATCCTCGACCTAATAATGGAGGGAAAGGAGCAACGACCCTCCCCCGCCTCGCTCCTCAATGTAGCGCGTTAGATACCCACCGCAGAGCAGCCCCCCGCCCCGCGCGCACACCCCTCTCACATACTCCTGCAATCTGGTCGTAAAGAACCGCCAGGCAGGAACCGAATCCCGATTACCTGCAACAGAAGACGCACAAGAAGCGACGCGCAGCGCCTGCCCAGCCTCGCGTGCCGCGGAAAATGCAAGCCGATGTGGCTTCGGCGAGACTTGGCTTCTCTTCTCCGCCCCAGCTGCTTCCAGTCCTCCTGATCAGGAGGAGTCAGCGGCGGCGGCGGCAACGGCCAACCCCCTGGGGCAGCCCAGAGACGCCTCGCACGCTTAACCCTCTGCTCGCCCGAGGGAAGCAGGCAGAAGCAGCAGCACCGCACATCCTGCAAGGAAGGGAATTCTCCTTTCACCCGGGGCTTCCCGGGCCTTCTGCAAGCTCCTGTGGCAGCAAGGCTGGGGAGTTGGGGGGTGGGCTGGCTGGAATGAGGACTGAGAGCAGCATGCCAGCCGCACTGGCTCAGGCTGCCCAATTGCCTTTGCACAGGGAAGGCTGCCAAGTGCACCTCTCTGGGAATGTGCTTCTGCAGCCTCTGTGAGAGCGAGGCCGGAGGGCCTGCGCGGAGCCTTGAGAGCAAGGGTGGCGCCGTGCCATGCCAGCGGCAGAGGAGCCAGGCTCCCCGATTCCTGCCGCAGGGTTGCCAAGTGCACCTTTCTGGGAAAGTGCTGAATAGTCAGAGCTGAGCACAAGGAGGGTGAGAACAAAGGAGCGCATAATAAGCACGCGGAAGGAAAGTCAGGATCTAGTATCGGGGTGTTCCTCAAGACACAGGGCGATTACATTACCTGCAAGCTTGCTCGTCGCAGAAGGTGGAAAGCAAGCAGCGCAAAGAAGCCTCAGGGCAAGCTCAGGCAGGGAGCACGAGATGCGGGAAGCGAGGAGAACTCCCCACACGCACATGCAGGAAAGCAAATGAGTGGGCGAGGGGCAGTGGAGACCAGCGGAGGCAGCAGTGGAAAAAGCCAAAATCACCCACATCTCCGCGTCAACGGAAAGGAAAATAATCGAGGAAAGCCAAGGGGCACCCAAGACACATCGGAAGGAACTCCCCCCCCCCAAAAAAAAACCACCCCAGTCCATCTGCAACAGAATTTAGGAGTGGGGGATCAGCAAATCAGAAAGTGACAGAGAGACACACACACCCCAGCCCCAGCAGCACCCAACCCACAAAGAAACAGCATCGTGTGAGAATTGGAGCGCATCAAACATCAGTCCTGTACAAGGAGAAGTGCAAAGTCAGCGCCGGAGGCAGGAAACCAACAGCAAGCTTTTCGCAGAAACGAAAAGCAAAACTAAGCAAAGTAAAGAGACAACGAATCCTCAAACAGCAGCAGTGGAACGTGTTCAAACAAACAAACAAACAAACCCATATTGGGGATGATCTGTGCATTTGGCATCGGCATGTGAGCAACCTCTGGGTGGAATCTGGCTCTCAGTGGGCTGTGAGAAAAAAGAAAGATCATTTATCACCTCACATTCAGTGGCAAGGCCTCCACTCCCACAAAGTTCTTAGAATGAACACCCCTCACACTCCAAAATGAATCCAATTTTTGGTGTGTTCCCCACCCTAACAAGGTTTGCGAACATTGCTGGGACACATACGTACCCTCCAACATTTGTCTGATGAAAATAGGGATGTCCCATTCCATAATGATAATTTTACTATTTATACTCCACACATCTTACTGGGTTGCCCCAGCCACTCTGGGCAGCTTCCAAAATATATAATAACCTAATAAAACATTGAAAATACTTCCCTATACAGGATTGCCTCCAGATGGCTCTGGGGTTGGATAACTCCATACCCTCCAACATTTCTCCAATGAATATAGGGACATCCTAAGGAAAGGTGGGGCATTCCGGGATCAAATCGGAAACTGGGACGGCTTCTCTAAATCAGGGGTGTCCATGGAAAATAGGGACACTTGGAGGGTCTGCACATACTGTGGCCCAGCACTGGTCCATAGAAGTCAATGATCACGTGGTGCAAAAAGCCTAATGTGCAAGTTCCCAGATTATAGTCACTGCTCTTCTCCCCTGCTGTGCAACTAGAGGCTAAGCCATGGTTTGGTTTAACATTGTGTTTAAATCCTGGCTCTTCATTTTGCTCCCAACAAACCACAAGCTCTAACCAAGGTTTCTTCATGGTTTAATCCTGGTTGCCAGTTAGTTTTCATACCCAATTCAATAGTGCTGGTGTTGACCTATAAAGCCTTACATGGCTCAAAACCACAGTAACTTAAGGACCACCTCCCCACATAAGAACCAAACTGGACCCTGTGATCAGGCCCCTCTTTGTGTCTCCACTTCCTGAGAGGCTTGGAGAGGGACAATACAGTGGTACCTCAGGTTACAGACACTTCAGGTTACTATTTCTGTCAGCATCGCCCTTGAGCCAGTGCCACCAACTGGACTCATCCACTTCAGCCCCGACTGGGCTAGGCGAGCTGGGTAGCGCTTCCAGAGACCACCTTCTGCACAGGAACAGGTCAAAGTGCTGTGGACTCACAGCTTAGAGTTGTGAGCACCGGATTCACTTCCACAAGAAGACAGTCGTCGCACAGCAGAGTACAGCAGACTCTAGCAGAGTATATAAACAACTCGGAGAGCAGCTCTGTAGAATATCTTCTTTATTCTATCTACAACTATTATACAACTATATACAGAGCTAAATAGGTCTAAGCATAAATAAATGCTACACTGCACTGAGTGTCTGCAGCTGCTCTTAGCAGCAACCTTATCTCTACACACGATCTCTAACACTCAGTCTCTCTCTCTCTCTCTCCGACACTGACTGACTCGGTGCTGGAGCAGAATAAGTAGAGAGCAGAACACGCCTCCTCCTCTCTGGAGAATCAGCAGACTCCTCAGGAGATTCTTGGATATGGGAGGGGTGAAATCTCCTCAATTTCTGCTAACCCAGAAATAGTACCTCGGGTTAAGAACTTTGCTTCAGGATGAGAACAGAAATAGCACGGTGGCGGTGCGGCGGCAGCAGGAGGCTCCATTAGCTAAAGTGGTGCTTCAGGTTAAGAACAGTTTCAGGTTAAGAATGAATCTCCGGAACGAAGAAAGTTCTTAACACGGGGTACCACTGTATGAGAATGGGCCTTTTATGTGGTGGCTCCCTGCTTGTGTAATGCTGTCCCCAGAGAGGTTTGCCTGCCACCATTGTTACATATCTTTAGGTGCCATGCAAAAGCATTCCTCATTACCCAGGCCTTCAGCCATTAAATAATCTATGGCCTGTTAAATGTTATTATTTTATCATTATGCTGACTATTATTGTGCTCTGTATTGCATTTATTAATATTATGCTTCATAAACTATGTTCTTAATGTTGTACCCTGCCCTTGGATCTTTGGATAAAGAACAGTACAGGCAACTCCCCACTTGCATGAGATCAGGACTGCTGACATGTGCACAGTTTTGGGTGCTGGAAGGGGGTGGTGGCAGAACAGAAGGGACCAGAAGGTACATAAGCATATCCTGTTGATGCATGCAGTGGCTGGGAACAGAATCTTCCCTGCACACCCCCAAAATCTGCCCTAGAGAGGATTGGGGGGGGACAATTTGGAGCAGATTTGGGGGGCACCCAGGGAGAGGAAGGGAAAGCTCCCATTGCATGAACAGTACTCTACTCATGCAGCACTGGATACAACCCATGTTCTCCAAGCTTCTTTCTCCCCAAGGATGGCTTTGCAGTACCTGTGGGAGTATTCTTAGTTTCCTCTAGGCATAGACAATTTGCGTGTTCCAGCTCTAAAGCTTGATGTGCAAAGCACATTCCTCAGATTGAGGGTAATTTGGCTTGGAAGAAATATGTTGGAATTGAATGTTTGTTTGTTGAAGAGCAAAACCTGTATGCCTAAATGTTTCTGCACACCTGGTCATGGTAAACTCTTTTAACAAGTGCTATTTTTCTAGAAAATGAGGTGCTGTAACTTACTATGAACATTATGAACTCTTTCTCTTTGAATGGCGAGTTCCAGCTGAAAAGATGCCCTGAATATGACTGTCATTAACTGAGTGTTTATTATAATGATTAAATGCTTGGGTTTGTAAGATTACTTAATTACTTTCTTCACTTCCTGTTGTGTTCACTGCATTAGTGTGCCTACTAATAAACAGAGGGAAACTGCTAAAATGGGCTAGTTTTTCTGCTTTATCTGGGGACTCTTTGCTACCCTTCTTCTAATAAGAGCTAAGGATCTACCTCATTTACTCCAGAATTGTTCCAGTATTTTTAAGGCTGCGATCCTATGCATACTTATCAGGGGGTACGCTCCATTGAAATCAATAGAAATAAATTTGAATAAAAAATCATGGGATCAGATTGCAAGATTACAATGCCTACCTGAGAGTTTAACTCCACTATAGAACTTGCCTCTGAGCAGATTTAATTAAGCCTTACCCTCTGCTGGAGTAAAAATGATTTGGCTATTGCAGCCAAACAGAAACTTGGTACAATCCAGCAATGCTTAAGTATTTTTAAATCCCATGCAATATAAGAGAAGTTAATGTGTGCATAACTTTCTCCTTTGATATAACTGGGGTTATTACTAGGACGTCAATTGCTTATTAAAATTTATAACAGGAATGCTAATAATACGTGTCTGGGATGTCTCATAAAAAGATCGAGGAAACAGTTGAGTTAAACCAGTTGTTTGGAGAGGATATAAAGCCAAACTTAATGTTTTTGCCAAATTCAAAGACAAATCTTTATTTTCCATCTTCCCTCCTTATTTGGCTGTAATACTTATATTCCATTTCCTGCTTTAAAGCCATTGTTAAGTGTTGCCTCTTGGTCTTCTCTCACTCCAAAACTGCTTAATGCTTGTGGTGTTAAGGCATTGGCCCTTGAATCTCTTATTCCAAAGTAGGCTTATTTACCTGAAAGGAATTACTACAGAGTAAATCATAAGGAATCTGACTGGTCTCTTCCAGAGATCATTTTCACAGAGAGGGACAATAAAGACAGAATCCTGTACACACTTACTAGGGAAGAAGAGGATCTGCTGAAGACTAATAGAACTTTACTTCCCAAGTAAACACAAAGAAGATAGGGATACATACAATGTAACTTTCCAGACATCATTTTAAACTATTCCAAGGCCTACTGGTGGGTCCCAGCCCACTCAGAAAGTCTGGCTTAGAAAGATGCAAATTCCTGTAAGGCTCTTTGCCTTTCTATTTGTATCCATGAGCACGGCTGGTCCAATACATTTTGGCACTTGAAGCGAACCACAAAACGACAGAAGAAGCGGGTGAGTGAAGATCTACATCACACAAAAAATCTACATTGGGATCTACTGAGGATCCTGACACCTGCGGTGATCGCCTCACCTTATCTGATGGGTGGGGTTCATGGCAGTAGCCAGAGGGGTGGGCGTGGGGCAGCTGCCCCCTCCCCAATCAAGTGAATAAATAAAAATACTTAACTAAAAGTGGAAATCATAGAAAGATTTTAACAGGTTTTTCTGTCCAAAGAAAGTAATCTAAAACAATTGTTGAGACATTTTATATCTGCTAGACAAGAACCAGACAGAGAATGATGACAGGTGGGTGTCCTGCCGCCACCCCCCCCCCCAGATCCTGGCTACACCCATGGTGGGCTGGCCCTGTCCATGAGGCAATCTGTATCCAGAATGTCTGGTCCCTCTCTGGACTAAGAGTACAGTACTGGGAAAAGTAGTGACCTTTATAGTTGGGAGAATCCACCCTGAACTGTGCAGACTAGCAGAGGAAGATAGACTGAAGACACTGATCATCTGTTTGGTAAAGTTTTCCCCTGCCTCCTTTAAATACTCTATTTAATCTCCTACCTGTGGCACTTTGAAACACTGCAATCCAGAAAACGGGTTTACGTCCTCACTTGAACTTGTGAGAATTCCCTTAAGGTGAATGTTCAGAACGTGTCAGGATTAATAACAACGTCGCCTTTTAACATGAAAGACAAAGATTTCGCAGAATGGAAACCTTCCCCTTGTAAACAAACGTGCTTGGCATTGGTGTGGTAGTAATAAAAAGTGCTTGGTGTTTAATGTATGTGGGATTTGTCTTTTGCTGAGGCTTGTAGCTAAATATTTGCATAAAATATTTTAAGCCTTCAAATGCATTTCATATTTGATTTCCACCACACATTTTGCATTAAATATACAGAGCCAACTGAAAGTGTGGTAAACTTTTGGGTGTAAACTAGTGCATTAATACTTGCCGCAGATATTTCAAAAGCCTTAGGACATGTACATTGAATATAATTTTGGCTCTCCCTCTCATTTGGGGGGTGGGGTGGGATATCTTAATGTCCTAACTCCTGTTACCACTTGCAAACATCTATTTACTATCATAAACTTCATGCTTGTACAGAGCCATACAGAGCCCTGAGACCACATAATGAAGGCAGGCTATGAATTCATATAAATAGAATATAAAAAAATATGTGTGCATGAAGAACTCCTGCATTCTTTGTTTGATACTAGGGTTGTCAACTGATCAGAAAAAAAAGGCCTGGCCTGCTCTTTTGCTTCTAATTGCAGTTTGATATGGCGCTGTGGCCTAAACCACAAAGCCTAGAGCTTGCCATCCAGAAGGTCGGCGGTTCGAATCCCTGCAACGGCGTGAGCTCCCATTGCTTGGTCCCTGCTTCTGCCAACCTAGCAGTTCAAAAGCACGTCAAAGTTCAAGTAGATAAATAGGTACCGCTCTGGTGGGAAGGTAAACGGCGTTTCCGTGCGCTGCTCTGGCTCGCCAGAAGCAGCTTAGTCATGCTGGCCACATGACCTGGAAGCTTTTTGCGGACAAACACCAGCTCCCTCGGCCAGTAAAGTGAGATGAGCGCCACAACCCTAGAGTCGTCCGCAACTGGACCAACGGTCAGGGGTACCTTTACCTTTACCTTGTACAGAAATTAGCAGATTAAGCATCTAACAGCATTGAGATTACCATGACGCCTGTTAATGTCTGCCCATCAGGCTACTCTTCGACACAGCTACAGAAGTTGATTTTAAACGTTGGCCACCCTACTTTTAAAGCTTGCAGGAATCAAGTGCCCTTGTATGAGAGCCTGTGGAGAACCCTGATGTAGGCTAAGAGCTCCCCCTTGAGTGTCTTGTTATTTTGCACCCTTGTGGTAAACCCAGAATACCAGATACTGTGACCAAATATCTTCATCTTCATTTGACATTCTGTTTTAATCTCCTTTCCCCCAATAACATCTCTGGTGAAAACTCAACATTTCTTTTATAAGGCAAGTCTGAAAACATTAATGAGGTGGGAGCAGCCTCTTAATTGATTGACCATTTAGACCATTTACATCCGAGACTGAGCTCTTCTTGTCATTGGCCCAAGCACTGATCTAGCTCTATAAAGAGGCTGACTTTTAATTGTCTCAGTTTCCTAAATATGTGAGGCTCCCTGAAAACTATCCAACCAGGTGACCAAAGGTTTAATTTCTTTTTAGACTGATATACTGCCTTTCCACATTCCTGAACATAACCCACAGAAATGACAAAGTGCACAACAAAATTGCATTGCCTATAACAATTCAAAATATAGCTGCAAACAAATATATTGTAACTGTTTATCAATATGGAACATAATTAAAAACAAAGATGCTCTTTCTCTCCAAACCTTTCTTCTGTGTGAAACTCTGCATATGCTCTGAATTTTGAGTGTCTGTTCAAGCAAAAAGAAATTTTGCTGAATGACACACACACACACACACACACACACACACACACACGGCTGTTTGTGTTAGAGTTGCCTTCCTCTTTCCTTCCTTTTCCCCCAACTAAAATTCTACATACTTCAGTATTTGGATTCATTGATTTTAAAAGGCTTTTCTCTTATTTTTTCTCTCTGAAATCTTCCCCACATGCCATGTGATTGTTAAGCTATGCTTTCTGTTCTAAGTTCTGTAAGATCTGACATCCTCTAGCCTTCAGTCAAGTAAATCTAAAGCACCCTCTTCCCACCCCCACCCCTTCATTATTCCTAGAGCTGGGCTTAAGGGAAAGGCCCTTTGCAGTTCAGCTTAGAACCGCCACCCATTACTCAGACAGCCTAGACACTCCAAGGGGCACCCAAATGAAGACGAACATTATACACATTATTTACAAGAACAAACCTTGCTCACTTTCATTCTATGTGAGGTGAGATCATTGGAAATGGATAGTAATGAATGTTATGATGGGGAGAAGCAGCAATAACAAAAGCCTTAAATGGCTCAGGATTGCAATACCTCAAGGACCACCTCTTCTCATATGAACTGGTCCCTGAGATTTACTTCAGAACAAAAAGCTAAATTAATTGTAAATAATGTGGTGACGGAAGAATTTAAGATAGAAAAAGGGACACGACAAGGTTGCCCAATTTCCCCACTGCTTTTTATTTCGGTCCTGGAGGTTTTGCTGAACATGATTAGAAGGGATCAGTTGGTTAAAGGTATACAGGTCGGAGCCAAACAATATAAATTGAGAGCATTTGCAGATGACTTAGTATTGACGTTACAGGAGCCAGAATCTAGTACTAAAAGGGTTTTAGAATTGATTCAAGAATTTGGTCAAGTCGCAGGATTGAAATTGAATAAGGTAAAAACTAAGGTTTTAGAGAAAAATCTAACACCAATAGAGAGAGAGGTTTCAGAATGAGACAGGTTTAACAGTGGTTAAGAAAGTTAAATATTTGGGGATTAACTTGACAGCAAAAAATGGGAACTTATTTAAAGATAACTATGAAAAATGCTGGGCTGAAGTGAAAAAAGACTTAGAAATTTGGTCAAATTTGAAGCTTTCACTGCTGGGTCGTATTGCTGCTGTAAAAATGAATGTATTGCCTAGAATGTTGTTTTTGTTTCAAACATTGCAAATTCTGGACAAAATGGACTGTTTCAA